CAGTTAAGTTAGGAGAAATTTCTCACCTGACTCATTGAAGAATAATTCATTTTTAGCCATCTGCCAAAGTATAGAGGGGACTGCAGTCTGCATCAGTAGAGGGATTACTCACTACTGTCATCCTTGAGAGTTACTGAAATGTTGTGTTTTGTCTTTTTTTTTTTTTCCTGCACACCTGAACATCTTAAATCTTCTGGAATGTACTAACTTTTCAAGTTAATGGTGGAGTCTCCAACTGTGTGACAGCACTGAATTATGGGCAGGTACCATGTATAAGAGATAGTTGCAAAGGTGAATCAGAGTTGATGGTGGCTGGACTGGTGTTTCCAGTTTGGGATGTTCCTGAGATTCTTATTAGCTTTATAACTGGCACCTGCTTCTTTCATCCTTACTGCTATTCCAAGCCCCCAACTTCTGTGACTAGCTTGCCACTTGGCTTTTAGGGGGAAAAATTAATATTCTTGTCCTAGGGATAATTTTTCCATTCCTTTCTCATTATTCCTAATCAAGGTATTAAAAATTGCCTGTTTCTGTTAAACATGAAAACAGAAAGTTGAATTTTTTGTCTCTTTTGTATTTGAAGCTGGCAATATTAGCTGCTCTCAATAGAAAAAAAATGATCACACTTCCACAACCAACATCTTTCCCTCCTGCATCCTGGGAGCATTCTTCTTTGAATCCCTTGTAGGAGAAAGGAGAAAAACAGATTTCATCCAGAGACTCTTCCAACTTTTAGAGAAAGAATGTATTTGTGAATTTCCAAGTAGTAGAGAAGGAGAGTGAGTACCAGAAAGGATAGCCTGAAAGATCTCTGGGAGCTTCCTGAGTGGTGCTTGTTCCCTGAGGTTATAAGAATCCCCATTTTTGCCCTAAAGAACACTGTGATTGTGTGTACAGGGGATAGAAAGGATGGGAAAGTTCAAGGCCCAACTCAAAGCTCAAGCCTGACCTTCCCTGACTACTTTAGCCCATAGCAATCTTTCCTTCCTTTAAATTCCAACCACCCTTGGGGGCAGTGAGGTAGCGCAATGGATAAGCTCAGGCTTTGGAGTCAGGAGGACCTGATTTCAAATCTGGTCTCAGACACATGATACTTACTAGCTATGTGATCTTGGGCAAATTACTTAACCCCGATTGCCTCACCGAAAAAGGCCCCCCCCAAAAAAATTCCACCCACCCTCTGTGCCATTCATTAGGCTCATGGCTCAGATACTACCCTGTATTATTAAATTTTTTAAAAACAGTAAATACTACATCTTTTGATCAGATTATAAGTTCCTTGAGGACAAGTATTGCAGTAAACATTAATGTTTTCTATTGTTTTTAAAGTTGTGTATAGATGACTGCTACGTAAATGTAGGTGAACCAAAGTCTTATTATCAATAAAATTAAATTAATCCAGCACAGTTAAGGATAGGCTGAGAAATAGAAACCAGATGGGTAGGAATAAAAACAAGAGAGAAAAGTGTCACAAAAACTCAAGAGAGGAGAGAATATCTAAGTGGAGAAGGCAGTCAACAGATCATTGAAATATTTCTGTACAAGAGGCTACTTGCCAAGGTCTTGTGTCAGGCTAAGTTTATTAGAATGCCTGAAGGTTTCAAAAGCCTGAAAAATGAGAAAGTTTAGGAGTAAGTTGTTACATAACATCCTTCCAGATTCAGTAGTTACTTATGAATTGGCTAAATTTCGGTTGATAAAATCGGTTGATAAAAATATGTTGCTAGAAAGTTGTTTCCTATTTAGAAGCTATGTATTTGGGCCCTGTTTCATGTCATTTGGGAGAATGGAAATAATAGAATTCTTTGCTTAACTATTCATCGAAGTAGGGAGGAGCTCCTCTTCTGCCCCACTCTTCTCCCTCTCAAAAAAAGATTACCTTATGGACTTGTTTCATGGAAAAGCCAAAAGATTTATTAGAATAACATACCTGAACGCATGTAGATATGGAATACATCAGGATATGGAAATTCTAGTACGGAAACTCCTTCCTTCCACCAATACCTCTCTAGAAGCCTGGCAGAGCTGTGACCCTAGGCTCTGGAGGGCTCTATCATTGAAGCATAAGCTGTAGCAGGTACCATCATGCTGGAAAGACTGGAGTGTGGTGTTGACAGCAGATTGAGCCTGCTTTGCAAATGTTAGTCAGTCCAGCTAAGTGCAGGGAAACTTATCACCAGTAGGCCAGAAAATTTATGACAATTTCTTGAATTCTTTGGTCATGGCAACTAGTGAAATCACAGATATATACTTGAAATCATCTTCACCTCTAGCTGAAATTTGGGTATCTATTTCCTAGTGGTTCTAGGCTTCTCTCCTGAGTCCTAGAAACTTTATGACCTAGTGTAGAGAGTTGGAGTCTGGAAGTTGTGAGTTCAAGTATAGTCGCTCATAACTTAGTAGGTGCATGTCCGTGGGCAAAAAGTCACTTTTCTTTTTCCTAATGTGCAAAATGGACATTATGATACCTGTAATATTTATCTCACAAGGTTGTTGTGAGGCCACATGAGATGAAATGCCTTGTACATTCCCCAATACTATAGAAATGAGTTATTATCCCTAACTAGAGACAGTATGTAGAACGTTTGGGATAGCAAATTGAAATGAAAGGCACAGTTCTCTGCTGAGACATCTGCAAACTTCATTATGTAGGTTTCTTTTAATGAATTACACATTTAGTTAGTGCTGTGTGTGCTTGAATAGAAGATTTCTCTACTTTTCTAGCAGTAGTCCTCATGGAGGACAATCTGATTAGATGGCTGAGAGACAGTAGAGAGTATAGGATGCATTTAGTCTTTCTGGAGGCATATTGGAGTCCCTCCCTAGTTCCCCTTTGCCCATCCTGAGCACCTGTTTATAACCAAGAGATCATTGTTGCAAAATGTGGAGAGAAAAGGTGATTTCAAAAAGCCCACCGTGTCTTAGACCGTTAACACAATGCATGGTTATTTAACTTCTTTATGGTTCTACAGGACAAACTTACAAATTGAAGGTATTCATAAGAACATATATTTTAGCCACCTCTCCCATTCCACTTATTAAAGTATCACTGTGAATGTTCTGACTTGTAATGAAAATAATGGGGCTAGTAAGTGGAAATACTGTGACAAGTAGAGAATTGAGTGTTACTAAGGAAATCTTTTTCCTTCTACACCCCTCTCCAACTTTCTTTTTTGTTTGGGCTTAGGTGGGCTTGGCAGTCCAGCAGTATACCAGCTATTTATAAAATTCCTTTGTTTACTCAGATCATTCAACTGCAGCACAGATCTGAAGTATGTCAAGAGAAAATTGCTAGCAAGTACTTTTAGCTAGGTCTTCTGTCATGAGTCAGGACACCTCAGTTCAACTTGTGCTAATTCCTGAATTGAATGGCGGACTTTTTGAGCTCATGAGTCTTGGGAAAGAGCATTTGAGGAAATAATCAAAAATCCCTAACAAACAAACAAACCAAAACATCCCTGTAGGTGTGTAGGGTTTTTTGTTTGTTTGTTTGTTTTGTTTTTTAGAGAGGACAACTAGTTATTGGGAGGATGTGGGGTAAGGAGAATGGGTGCTACTGGATTGGAGGTCAGAGTACCTGAGCTCCAATCCTGGCTTTGCCTCTTATGACCTGTGCGACCTTGGTCAATTCACTCAATGTCTTTGTAGCTCAGTGTCCTCATCTGTAAAATGAAGGATTTGGACCCGATGGCCTCTCAGGCCCCTTTTTAGCTCTAAATTTATGGTCTTTTGAGACATTTCATAGTTTCTTTGCAGACCGTCTTTAATGAGCTGTTGACTAAGGTAAAGATACTAGAGTGGCTTGCCGTTTCCTTCTCCAGCTTTTCATACAGATGAGGAAACTGAGGCACACAAGGTTAAGTGACTTGCCCTGGGTCACACATCTGGGAAGTGTCTGAGGCTGGATTTGAACTCAGGAAGATGAGTTTTATCACTTCAGGCCCAGCGCTCTGTGCACCTTTTCACCTAGCTGCCTGTACCAAGAGAGGGTAAGACTTGTTCAAAATCACACAGGAAGTAAATGGCAGAGCAGGATTCCAAACTCAATTCTTCTGACTCCATGATCTTAACACTCTACCTTTTGTCTCTTTTAGAGAGAGAGACCATGGGGGGTGTGGGGAGGAAGCAATGAAGGTTATAATTATTTTGCAGTTATTTTGAGGTAAATCCCATCATTTTATGGGAGGTAATGTTAAGGCAGTGCTAAAGGAATGAGGCCTGCTTGAGGGTGAAAAGAAATTAGGATGCATGCAGCATCCAAGAACCTGCTGGAGCTTATGCCTTATTTTTTGTTATCCTTGGTATGTTGTCCTGGGATTCTGTCCACTTAGCAAGTCAGGGGAAGAGTCAGAGTGGATTATTGTCAGTGATATATGGGGGAGGGAAGAGCTTTGGGAAAGTGAATAAAGTTGGTGAAAAACTTAACCACTTGAAAGCAACTACTACTCTTTGCAAGAAAAACAATGGTTCATCTTGTAGTAGAAGCCAAGGGATTGTTTTTAAATGCAGTGATAAAGAAAGGATGATGTTTTCTCTCTCCCTCAAGGAGACTAAGAGATCAGTTTCCTCTCATCACTGAGGTTTCTCACTTTTTTTTTGAGTTTCTCTTAAAAGGGGAGAAACTTTACCTTTATCATCTAGTTTCTTGGCATATTGAATAATCCTAAAGTGGATTAGCCTTCACTTTCCCTCTTTACTCAATTAGGAAATTGTAGGGGAGTTTTACTTTCTCTTCTCCTGTTAACTAGAATATAAACTAGTAAGAGGTAACAGGGCTTGCAACAATCTTGTCTTAAGTAAACAAATCTTCTCCACTCTGGCACATAGTGGTCTAGACTAAGTAGGCGCTTAACAAGTGTGTTAGGCTAAATTGGTTCTGATTAGAAATTGTGTGTGTGTGTGTGTGTGTGTGTGTGTGTGTAATAATAATAATAGATGGCATTGAGAGCTGTACGTATTATTTAACATGATCCTCAATAAATGCTTCTCTCTCCTTACAGCTCCAACAGATTCTGATGGCCCCCTCTATCTGCCCTACAAGACTCTGGTATCTACCCTCCGAAGTACAGTTTTCAATGAAGGGGAAGCCCATTGTCTCATCGAAATCTTATCAGAGAAAGCAGGAATTGTTCAAGATACCTGGCATAAGGTAAGGAGAGTTTTGACATTCAACAGAAATTTTAATGGTGATTGTGTGTGTTTGTGTGTATGTCTACATGTGTGTTTTTACTCTTTCCCTCCCCCACATGAATGAAAACAAATAGAAATTGTTATGTAGTCCTCGTACCACACGCAGCCTCTGTAGCAAGATGCAGCTGTGCTCATGGTGATGTATTCCCAGATGTGAATGTAAAGCATTGATGGAACTCATGCTGGAGTTGTTAAGCTGGAAAGAAAATGCTTATAAAACAATCTGGTCTTTTAAAATTGTCCTTCACTTTTCTTTTCAGAGAAGAATACTGTCTTATCCCTTCATCCCAAGCTGGGCTTAATCATAGTGCAAATATATTTTGTCTTCTGCTACATTCTAATCACCGTTGAGCTGCAAAAACATCAGTCCTGACTGTTAACAGTTGCACACCTTTACTTTATAGCAATGATGATGATAGCTAACATTTATATGGCACTTTAAATTTTGCAAAGCACTTTATGTGTATTATTTGGTCCTTACAACCCTTTGAGGTAGAGGCTATTATGATTGCCCCCATTTTACAGATGAGGGTACTGAGTTTGAGAGGGGTTAAGTGACTTACCCAAGGCCATACAACTTGTGTTTGAGGCTGGATTTGAAGTCAGGTCTTCCTTACTGTAAATTCTATACTCATTGTGGTTCAATGGAAAGAGCACTGAATTTGGAGTTGGAGAACTTAGGTTCAAATCTCAACTCTGCTGCTTGCTACCAGTGTGACATTGGCTTGTCCTATAAATATCTGAGACTTATTTTTCTTATCTATAAAGTGAAGGAGTTGGACAAGACGACCTCCAAGGTCCCTTATCTATGATCCTATAATCTGGCAATGAGATGTACAATCTGCAAAGGGCAGAATGTTGCCTACATGGTCCAGTCAGACATTGTATCACTTTATTACAGGGGACAGTGCTGTCCTTGGGTGGGGATCAAGATGGTGAGCATATCTTGAATAAACAACAGTTGTTGATAAAATGTGTTCTAAAATGTATAGAATTCCTATGAATCTACGGGGAGGACAGAAGAGTGATCTTGTAAGTAAGATAGAATTATTCCCAGCTGTAGCTTGAAAATAACCAAGAACAAGGGTGGAATATAGCAGAATATTTCATGTTTGAAACTCATTGGAATGACCCAAAAACTCAGATCCTTACATTCTAGTAGACTGGAAGTACCTCAAAGGTAGGAACTGGTTTTTGTTTTGTTTTGTTTTAACTCTTCTCTTTCTATCCCTTGCATTTAGCAAGCATTTAATAAATCCTTTTTGAATTTAATACTCTCCTATTTCTGATACGAGTCCCAGTAGTAGTGACTTCTAGCCCTTTTGGAGTCTTTACTCTCTGTCATGTGACCAAAATCCTCCTTCCAGAGGTGCAGTATAACCCATATTTATCTTTGTAAATTAAAGTGAATGAAAATTAATTTTGCTGGAGGGATTTTTCATCATTTCTGGACATAATTAGAGACATTCTGGGATGTGCCAAGCCCTAGGCTGGTACCCAGCGCTTGAGAGATACCCGAACAATTACTCCAGAGCTAAGTGTCCTTGCATCTGGCTCATCACTGAAATTTGTCCAATGGTATTTACTACCCCAAAATTTCTGATGGTTGTACAGGGGGAAGACTGTGCAGGGGACATCTGGGGAGGGAATGATCGTTAGTACCCCCAAGAAACAATGCTGGCTTCTTTACCCCCAAAATAGCGTTCTTTCACCTGCCACAGAGTCACAGCTGCCATCTTGCCTGGGCCAGTCAGCGTGCTTGAGGAGACGATTAGCACTCCGGGGGGGGCGACGCTAAATTCCACTGTGTGGACATAGAAATTGGGTCTTTTCTTCTTGCTGAATGAGCTTAAGTAGCACCAATTATGTCGGTCTGTAGTCTTATGCTTTCCAAGGGGTTTGACTGGCTCGTGAAGCCTAGAATATGGCGATGCAGGGGTGATGTGGTTAATGTGGTCCAGTAATTAGCCCAGAAGTCCCACTAGTCCTTGTAGCTTAATGGCAGATCCTGCTACTTCTGATGATGGAAGCTGCTACACCCTGAGCATTCCCACACTTAGAGGACTGGCTGAGGTGGAACGCCAGATGACATACCGTTGTGTAAAATTGGTCTTGTTTAGTTATGGGGTGTTCTTGGCTACTTCTCTGTTTGGTAAAGTGATGAACTTGATGGGTGCGTATCATCAAGGAAGCCTGGTACAATGTAAGGGTCACTGGATCTGGGTTTAAATCTCCCCTCTGATAATGTTCTCTCCGACCAAGGACAGTCATCACTCAGTCAACCAGCAAGCATTTATTAAGCCCTACTATGTGTGAGGTTGTCACTGTAAAAAGAAAAAAAAAACAATGAAACAGCCCGTCTTTAAGAATTTTATAGCCTGTAAGAGAAAACAGTATGAACGTATAAAACGCACATAAAATTTTAACACTTCTAATTTTTTATAATTAATAGTTAATAATCACAATAGCTAACATTAATCTAGTGCTTTAAGGTTTGAAAGCACTTTACACATATGATCTCATTTGTTCTTCTCAGTAACTTGTGAGTTAAGTGCTGTTATCTCCATTTTATAGATGAGAAAACTGAGGCTGAGAGAGGTCAAGTGACTTGCCCACAGTTACACAGCTAATAAATGCTTGAGGCAGAATTCAAATGAAAGGTATCCTGTTTTCAGGTCTAGCTCTCCCTATATTGATTATGCCCAACACATACAAAGTAGGTACAAGGTAATCTTGTAGGAGAAGGGACTAGTGGCTGTTCTAGAAAGGGACCAGGAAGGCCTCAAGCAGAAGGTGGTGTTTGAACTGAGTCTTTTTTTTTTTTTGGTTGGGCAATGGGGGTTAAGTGACTTGCCCAGGGTCACATGGCTAGTAAGTGTTATGTTTCTGAGACCAGATTTGAACTCAGGTCCTCCTGAATCCAGGGTCAGTGCACTATCCACTGTGTCACCTAGTTGCCCCCTTGAACTGAGTCTTGAAGGAAACCTGGGGTTTTCAGAGATAGGGGAGGAGGGAATGCGTTCTAGCCATGGGTGACCATTAGAAGACAATGTTGTGTCTAAGGGGCAGCAAAAATTCCAGTATGGTGGGACCATAGAGTACATGAAGGGTAGTAAGGTATATTGAAGCTGGAAAGGGAGACGAGTCATTAACTTCCCTGGCCTTAGCTTCCTTATCCTGTAAAATGAGGGGGTTGGTTAGAATGCTGTCTCTTCCTGTTCTAGATCTATGATCCTGAACTGTTAGGCCTGTTCTCCTTTCCTTGGAAGTGTTTCCGTTAATAAATTGATACCTTATTAGGTGTTTGCTCCGCTCCCTTTCCCATTATCATAATTAATAGCTGATAGCTTCCAGCTGTCTAAAATGGGAAAGAAGGCAGTAGAAGAACCCTTCCTCTTCATTATCAAATGAGATAATATTTCTAAAGTCTTTAGCACAGTTCCCAGCACACAGTAAGTGCTTAATAAATGCTTGTTCCCTTCCCCCTTCCTTCCCCTTTCCTCCTCATGCTGGTTCCAAGCAACGGAGATGATCTCAGACACCAAGGGGCCAGCCTGTGTCTCTGTATCATTGCCACAGAGCAAGACTAGAGATGAATCTCCAGGGACAAGAGCCCTTTCCAGACTATTTCCAGTGGCAGAGCTTCCAGTGTGGATAGGCGGTGCCTCACCTCCCAGGAGGCGGAGCTGAGGAGACACATGACTGGGCATGCGATGTAATTTGACCAGAAGTTGTAGGTGGAGTTTCTGGAATTTTTGCTTTGGACTTAGCTGCATGTCCATCTCTTGCTGTCCAGCAGTGGAGGGAGCAGGAATCTGGCTGCTGTGCTTTTGCTTTCTCTCCCTTTCTTTTTGGTGGCTCTGGGAAAACCCTGGGTCTCCATCCCTCTTAGCCTTGCCTGCTGCCTTAGATCTGCTCTGACATAGAGCTGAGCCAAATGGTGGCAGCCTGGCTCTGCAGCCTCTCTCCCCTCCTCCCCCCTTCTCTCTCTTCTTTTCTGTCTCTGCTAGGAAAGTCCACAGGGATGCAGTCCAGATTTGCCCAACTGAGCCTAGGAGAGGTAATCTGGTGTCATCCTTTTTTTTTTTTTTTTTTTTAGGCAATTGGGGTTAAGTGACTTGCCCAGGGTCACACAGCTAGTTAGTGACAAGTGTTTGGTCTGAGGCTGAATTTGAACTCAGGTCTTTCTGACTTCAGGGCCGGTGCTCTATCCACTGTGCCACCTAGTTGCCCCGTAGTGTCGTCCTCTTTTTAGGAAAAATTGTTTGCTTTAAATGTTTAGAATTATTGTTGAGTATCCTATTTTTCTTTTATAGAAGTTATTAATAATAGGCATGTATATAGCACTTTAAGGTCTTCAAAGTGCTTTACATATTTTAACTCCTTTGAGCCTCACAACAACCCTATGAGGCAGGTAATATTGTTATCCCCATTTTACAGTAGTTGATTTGTATGTTATTGAGAAAATGATTCCTCTGTTGATCCATGTGCTTGGTACAGTTCAACTTAGACTAACTTGTTATGTTCCTTATTGAGCAAGAAATCCCCTTGTAATTTATAGTTTTGAAAGTTCCCATGAAGTATTTCTTTCTAGATCAAAACTGAGTGGTTATTTTGGGGGGGTCGGCAGAATGGTGGTGTATATGGTATCTTTACAGACTCATTAAGACCAAGGCCAAGAGCTCCAAGGAGCCCCAGCTGCCACCCCCTCCATAGACCTAGGGATGAGCAGACTCCATACCTTGTGGTAGGTAGGAGAGACTCATCTTCTGCCCCAGAGCCTTCAGTTTTCTTAACAGTTTAGTTCCGTTCAATTCAGAAGCCATTTATTAAACATTTACTATATGCCAGGCTCTATGTGCTTGATACTTGAGGAGACAGAGATAAAAAAATGAAACTCTCCCTTCAAGAAGCTTACATTCTCTTGGATAGTGTGGGGTGAATTAAGGAACAACCTGTACCCTAAGTGACTATAAAATATATATTTTAAAGTATAAATAATTTGACTGTTGGGGAGAGAATTATCGTGGTGGAGAAGGGCAGGACTGATCAAGGAAGACCTCTGTTGACCTGAGCTTTGAAGGGAGCTAGGACTTCCAGGAGGCAGAGGGTGAGAAGGGATGAGAGATGGTTTGTGCTAAGGTATGGAGACAGCAGAGCAACACTGACTAGAATAACGTGTGAAAGGAAGTCAAGAACTCAGCTGGGAGAGAGAGGGCAGAGTCAGATTGTAAAAGCCTTTAAATGCTAAATAGAAGAGTTTGGATTTTATCCTGACGGCAGTAGGGAGCCACTGAAGCTTTTTGAACAGAGGAGTGACATGGTCACACCTGTGCTTTTGGAATATCTATTGGGTAACTGGAGGACAGATTAGGGCAGAGACTTGATTTAGGAAGCTATTGTAATAGTCTAGGAAAGCATTGATGAGGGGCTGAATAGGATACGGCTGTGTTCGGGCAGTAAAGGGGTTGCATGGGAGATGTGGACAAAATATAGCAGCTGGTGGGATGAGGTGGGGCGGGACGCAGTGTAGTCATGACCACTGATAAAGCTGTGTCTCTTTTTACAAAGCAGCTTAGAACACAACAGTTTCTTTTTCTGGTGTGAGTCTGAGCCTGGCCAAATATTTCATATGATTTCCTCTTCTTGTCATGTGAATGTCTTACACGAAAGTTGTGTAGTTTGTTTTTCTGTTTGAGGCAGCGTGGTTTGGTGAGAAGAGCAGTAACCTCAGAGCAAGGAGGTTTGCTCCCTGATGCTCACAGTTCTAGCCCTCAGTTTCCTTATCTATAAAATGGAGAAGATAGTAACACTTATATTACCTGCTGCACAAGTGAAAGCAGTTTGGGAAGACGTTCTTTCCTCCACCCCTATCCCTCACTGTACTGAAACTGTTTTCAAATCCCACCAGTAACCTAGTCACTAATCCAGTGACCTTTTTTTTTTTAAATTCTCATCCTTGACCTTTTCTGAAGCTCTTAGTAGTGTTTACTTGGTTTTTCTAGCTCTTACCTCCTTTGGGATCAGAGGTTCTTGGTTCTTCTTTCTCTCTCCTCCATAAAGACTCTTCCTTGCCCTTTAAGAGGGTGTTCTCCTAAGGTCTGTCCTTGGCCCTCTTCTCTTCTCTCTCCTCTCCCCTCTCCCCTCTCTCCTCCCCTCCCCTCCCCTCCCCTCTTCCTTTCTATAGTAGTTTCTCTGTTGGCAACCTCATTTAGCCCCAGAGTTCCTCACAGCTATTCACTCCTTATTTACATGCCAACAGTATTATGCTGGCCCCCTTCATCTGCAGCCACACTCTGGAACATCCATCATCCCCTGAGGCCTTCTCACCCTGGAGCTCCCCCCTGCTGTGCCAGCCAACCTTCATTTCCCTGCTGACTGTACTTCTCTTTCCAAAACTGAACAACATGCTCCTGTGACAGATACTTACCCCACCTTTCTCTTCCCTCTCCCTCCTTCCTCCCCAACACTTTCAACTCTCTTTTGTATATGGTCTTTCCCTATTAGATTGTAAGCTCCTTGAGGGCAGGGACTGTATTTTTCCTTGTATTTGTATCCCCAGGGCTTAACACAGTGCCGGGCAAGTAGTAAGTGCTTACTAAATGTATCTGAGCAGATGACTTTCATATCTCTAATAAATACTTCTCTTCTGTACTCTAGACCCCGGTTGGCCAGTGTCTGGAGAACATTCAGTTCAGTTCAAATAGGCATTTATTTAGCACTTAGTATGTGCCAAATGTTTTACTATTTGCTGAGGAAACAGACACAGGAGACAGTCCCTACCCCTCAGGGAATTTACATGCTATTGAGGGGAACAACTAGTACACACACATCAGTAAGTGCAAAGTGAATTTGTGTGTGTGTGTGTGTGTTGAAAGTATAAAGCACACTTTGGGAAAGAGCGCTGTATTCCAGGCATGGTGAAAAGATGGAGCATCATCTATGGTGAATGGCAGGTGGGCTGGTTTGACTAGGGTTAGAGTGCAGCAGGAGCGAGGAGGGTAATGTGAAATCAGGCTAGAAAGATAGGTAGAGACCAGGTAATCCTAGAGGCAATAGGGATCCATTGAAATGTCTTGTGGATGGTAGTAACGTGGTTAGCCCTGTGCGTTAGCACTGTTGGTTTGGCGGCTCTTTGGAGACAGATTGGAGAGGGGAGAGCCGAGAGGGTCAGGGAGGCCAGTTCAGGAGTGCTGTGATACAGGAAAGTGGTGATAAAGACCTGAACTAAGGTGATAGTTCTGAGAGGGGAGAAAAGTAAATGGCTGTAAGCCATCTGGTGGCAGTTGAATGCACAAGCCTCAACAAAATATTAAATGTGAGTATGTCACCAGCATGTCAGACTCAGTGTCCTGAACCAAAGTTTCCTCTTATAAACCTACTCCTTCTGAATTCCTCACTCATGTCAGGGGCACCACCATTCTCACCTGGCTTTCCTTGTTTAACTTTCGTCCAAATCCATTTGCCTCTCCTACCCAGGTATGTTTTATTCCGCCTCTTGCCCACATGTCTCCTGCACTGTGTTTCAGCCGCTACAACCCTAATCCAGATCTTTGTTCCTAGTCTCCTGAGCTGTTACAGTAACAGAGGTCTTTCTGCTTCTGCTTTTTGCCCCCTCTAGTCCATCCTTCACACCACTGTCATTCATGGAACTTACTGCTTACAGTGTATCACTTGATTAAACAGTAATGCAGAGAAGATTTTTGGAAATAATTAATATATATCTACTAGTATAGTTATGGTTCTTAATGAGACTAAGAGTTGTTTGCTTGAAAAGTATTGTTTTCATACATGGTCTGCAGGCAGAGAACTGAACCAAATGGCTTCTTTTAATGCTCTCGCTTCCATAATTGTGAGCTGAGTTAATGTAGTGGAGAGATAAGGAGTCAGGAGAGAGGTGGTTCCACCTCTGACTCCAAGCTGTGTGACCACAAGCCTCTGTTTCTCCTTCTGTAAAATGGGGATAATAATACCTATAGCATTTACCTCTTAGGGTTGTTGAGAAGAAGAAATGAGATAGTGTTTGGCAACTTGATTTTTAAATAAACCCTAAAGCCTATAAACCTATGAGTTGTTAGTGTTGCCCTTTGAAACCTGAAGGATGTAAACCATTCTCTTTGGCAGTCTTGGTCCTTGTAGGACTACAGTGCCTCCTACTGTTGTGTCCTGGAAACTGTAGTAGAATGTGCAGCCACCAAGCATTTCTTAGATACTAATTTGAATCTGTTGGTGCTTTGATAGGCTACTCAAAAAGGTGATCCCGTGGCAGTTTTAAAGCGACAGCTGGAAGAGAAGGAAAAGCTGCTGGCCACCGAACAACAGGATGCTGCTGCCGCCAAAAACAGACTAAGGGAACTTAATAAGGTAAATTCCGTGTAGTTTGTCTATAAACATATCCCTCCTTCTATCCTGTTTAGTGAGAAGAGCCGTAATGTGACTCATTGAATCAGGAAACTGCTGGGCAGCCCATGTACTCCATTGGTGGCAGTATGAAGAGACCTAGATGAAAGTCCCTACATGTCCATTGAGGTGTCCCCTCTAGGAGAGCCTGGACAAGAATTCTTGGGTTGTGAACTTTGTCATTGGAGGTAGTGCCTACATGGAGGAGATCCCAGATCCATTTAAAAATATCTAATCTGTCACCAACACTTCATATTCCTCTCTTGTTTGTTAGGGTTAGGGTTAGCCCAGCAGATTCTTGGACGAGGTTGCTAGCCTTTCTTGCCCACCTCTCTGAGGACCTTGGAAGAAACTCAGAGTTGGATGAGGTCTTTGGTGTCCTTCTGTTTTTCTTAGGCATGTGAGACTTAATGCTAACTGTTCTTGGTACCTGGTTTGGGAGCTGGACTCTGCAGTGTCACTGTAAAATTATATGTATCTGGCTTAAGCCAAATGAGTACTTTGTTAGGCTTCTTGGTTGATCTTTTTGTGCAATGGCAAACACTTGATGGAGTAGATTATCTTAATTTCAGTTATCCATGAGTTCTTCTTTTCCTTCCTTTCCCTCTCCCCACTTTTTGTCCCTTTTAATGCTTGCTTGTGAGGATATTATATTGTAGTGGATAGAATACTGGCCTTGAGGCCAGGAAAATATCTTGAACTCTCAATGCCCTAGGCATCTCTTCCTCAGACTGTAAGTTGTAGAAATGATGCCAACTTGCATTGGTGGTGAGAGTTTCCTCACTCAGGAGTTACATGTACTAGTGAACTGAAAAGTCTGGTCGTCATCTCCAATCCTGCTAGCTAGCACCTGTCTATCAGGAGGATCAGTCAGGAAATTTGAGAGGGTGAAACTAATCTAGTCTTATACCTTGTGAATTATAGTTAAAATAAATTCAGAAGTGAGTTCTACATTGCTCCCCTCTCCAGCCAATTTTATTATTAATAAGGCATAGTACAGTGTTTTACATGTAGTAGGCTAGTATTTGTTGATTGAAGACTTTTCAATCAGGATATGTCCTTGTAGGCATGTTCATCTGGTCATTGTCTCAGGTCTGTCTGTTTAGATGAGCACAGAGATGTTAGTTCCATATATCTAAGCTGATACAGACACTGAAAGGTCTAAGATGGTGTCTCCTTAGAGGGATGCTTTCTCCTTATCTCTCTTTCCTGTGTAAAGGTATATAAAATAAGTCAGGCGTTTATCGGTTCCTTTATCATTTCATGTGACCACTATAGGGGAAATTGAGCAAAGCAGGGTGGAAGTCAAAGGACTCTTTGGAAGGTTTCATCTTGGTTAGTGTTAAAGGTCAGGCCGTCAGGGACCTTTTCTAAGTCTCATTAACCTTTTGTTCATGTCCGTCTCTGGGCAGCCATCTAAAGACAACACACCCATGAGAAGTGTGGATCAACCATTTGCTTTCTTTTCCCCTTGACTTGTGGGTAGAAAGTCCACATTGTTTAAGGATACATTTGCTCTCTTTAAAAAATTGTTCAAAATTACAAACTTTATGGCAATCTCAACAAATGTCAACTAGCTATCAAATGAACAAAATATTGTCATTATTACTTATAAATTTACAAAAAACTTTTACAAAAAATGATTTATTTGCCCTGTCCCTTTCACATTGTTGTCTTCTGTATAGTCATAACGTTTTGTTGCTATAGTTCCTTTTTTTTTAGACCTAGTTGATGTATTTCTTACAAAATTAGCTTTCATCACTCTACATCACTTTGTAAAAGTTTTTGCCTATTTCTTTGTAATTCTGCCCCTCCCCCATATTTATCACCCTTTCTGGTGCTATAATATTCCATTACATTAATATTTTGCAATTTGCCTAGACCTTCTTAGGGGTACTTTTAAAAAATATCACAATTAAAGATTCATTGAAAACTTCAGCCTAAGGAATAAGTGAGTAGGTGAGGGCAGGGCTTTGGTTCTACTGTTAGTAGAAGAGAGTGAGGAAATTTTGCTATCTAGAGGAAGGGAGACCTCTAATAGATAAATTGTGTTTATAATTCATTTCAGTTCAATTTAGTAAACATTTATTAAGCACCTACTATGTGCCAGGCACAAGGCTAAGCCCGGTGAACCTGGGTTCACATCCTAGCTGTACCATTTGCTACCTGGGTAATTATAAGCAATTCACTTAATTTTTCTGGGCCTCATTTCTTTAGCTTTAAAATAAGGAGGTTCCAGGATTACAGGCATCAGAGGAGGACTTCAGTAGAAGTTATAGAGATGTAAATTGTCTCAATCCTTCTAGGAGCTTGCAAGCTGAGACAAACAACGTTGACGTGAAGTCATGTAGAAAAACATAAAGATGAGGAATAAAATGCAAGATAAATACGGATAGTGAACAGATAACACATGGCTCGTACAGAACATTTGTTCGTTCAGCAAATATTTATTCGGCTATGTGCAAGGCGCTGTGGTGAATATAATGAAGGATGTTTGTCAGGTTTGCAGATGGTACAACACCAAGAGGAGCAGTATTAGGATCTAAAAAGGTCTTGATGGGCTAGAATGATGGAACCTAACACGATGAAATTTAGTAGGGATAAATATGAAGTCATACATTTTAGGTTCAAAAAAGTCAACTTCACAAGTATAAAATTGGAGAGGTGCAGGTAGTTAGCAGTTTTCTAAAAAATGATTTAGGATTTTAGTGAATTACAAACTCCATGAGTCAGTTGTGTGATGGGAAAACACTTGACTGTAAACTAAAGTTATATTGAGAGTCATAGAATTCAGGGACAAAGACATGAGATAGTCCTGCTGTGGTCAGATGCGGGTATTCTCAGGCTTCTTTGTCTTCCTCTCCTCCAGGCTCAGGCAGTGACAGGGTGTAGGACTACCTGTCACCACGAGGGGCACCCTTACCCCTTTGCCTAGGCTGTTTTGACTGCTCCCACAACTTGGATAAGATGTCCACAACTTTATTCCTTCTGATGAGATGGAGGACCCCTAGGCTTAACTCTTGCTATTGCTTCCTAAGGCCCTTCCTCTATATCCTAAAGTCCCTTGGCTCAGTTATCTGGCCTACTTACGTAAATTCAGGACCCCTAAACCTTGCCATCTGCCCTGAAGCTGAACCCCCTGAGGGACTTCGTGTCTCCTCATCTGCCCTGTAGTTTTCCTTCCTTTTGCTTGTTATCTCCCCCAATTAGATTATGAGCTACTTGAAAGTGGAGTCCATCATAGCCTTTTCTATTTGTACCCCCCAGTGCATAGTGTTGACATGTAGTAAGCACTTATCAATGCTTTTTCATGCTTTTTTTTTTTCATTATTGGAAAGGATGAACTGCAACCAGGGTGATGAAAGGATCCTTCTAACGAAAGGTGTGAAGGAATCGGTGATATTTAGCCTAGAGAAGAGAAAGTTTTGGTGGGGAATGGGGTACACGTGTGGACGTATGAAGAGTTGTCATCTGGAATAGTTATTAGACTTGTTCTATTGCAGTCTTGGTCTAGGGGCAAAGGGTACTTCTTAACATTAAGTATCCCAAAGAGGTACTGGCTACAGGAGATGGCAGGTGCACCCTCGCTGCATGTCTGCAGGGAAAAGGCTGCATGGGTCAGTTCTTGGGGATATTGTAAAGAGGATTCCTGTTCATTTGTAGGTTGGACTAGATGGTTTGGCTCTAAGGTCCTGTGATTCTCTGACCTCTAATATTCTTTCCAGCTTTAAATCTGTGATCATATGAAGACTCTATACAACATTTTTTAAAAGCCCTAGAATACTTGGATTTCTTCCTATATGTTACAGGAACATTGCATCTGCTGGTGGTGATCAATAGTGGCCTAAAGAAATGTGGAACTATCAGCAATTGTTAAACTTGCAATGGAAAAAAAATGTGCCATTTCCCCCCTTCTTTCCTTGCCCCCCCCCCACTTGAAATGATCCACAGCTGTATATTTGAAAGTGCCTATTACCCATGTGCATGTGGTGTATTTTTTTTTTTTAGTGCAGTTTCCCCTGTAGATCTCCTTTGACCAAATTGTGGGTGTTGTTAATATTAATTTATATTTGTCTCATTTTGTATGTATGTGTAGTGTGTTTGTAAGTATGATGTGTGGTTTATAATCTGACAAAGTCATGAAGCTCAGTCTGGCTGTAATTTAATTCCCTCCCCTTATTTTTATTTATTTTTGTACCATGCTGATTAAATAAAATGCATTGACCATCTAAAAAAAAAATGAAATGTGGAACTAATCCCTCGATGATCTAGTAGGGTCATATGAGTTTGCATAGAGGATTGGTTTTTTTGTTTGTTTGGTTTTGTGTATGTGTGTGGGTTTGGGTTTTTTTTGTTTTTGTTTGGTTGGTTGGTTGGTTGGTTGGTTTTTAGGTTTAAAAAGGCAGTATTTCTGGGAGGAACTATAGTCCATATCTCAGCCAGGAATCCAGTTAGTACTTTTTCACATTTTGTTCTTGGTTGCCCACTGCCTCCTTTGAAAAACAAAGATGTTTTATCCAGTTGCTGTGCTGCTATGGTTTATGTAAAATAATTAAGTGACAGTCACACACCCCAGGTAGAGTGCTCAGCTGTGAGGTTATAGTTTCTTTTTTCTTAGAGAGAATTATTTGAGAGGGGAAATAATTCAGGTTACAGTAAGTACTTAAGTTTTGTCTTATGATATTTCTTCCCATAATATAGTCAAGTTTAAGAAGGCAGTTGGATTTAGAGAACAAAAACTTGAGTTCAAATTCTGGCTCTGCCACTTTTGCCTGTGTAATCTTATACCGGTTATTTAATTTTTCTTGTCCTGTGTTTCGTCGTCTGCAAAATGGGGTGGTTAGGCTACATAAGATGAACTTGGAGGTACATTTTAGCTCTAAGTCTGTGATCTTAAGACCTGTATCTGTAATTTCTGTTTTTTGGAACAAAAAGGGCTCCGTCCCAATCAGGTTTTGGTAACTGGTTTATTGAGAATTGTCTAAGGAGGACCTCACCATTTCTAGGGACTTCTCTTTCTTGTGGATTTTGGGTAGGATGTCCTTGTGAGACACTGTGGTGTCTTTGTCTAGCATAAGTCTCCCTGTTCTATGCTGTGTTTGATGTTAATAGTCAGAGAGGATCATTTAACAAAGCTTTCCCTCTCTTTGGTTGCCTCTGTGGAGGAATTTTTTTTAACATATACATGGGAGACCTTGGTGGAAGAGAGCCTGAAAAACATGACTCTACAGGGAAGATAATGAACTGCTGTGGTGTATTGTCTGCCAAAGCCTGCCTTTGTTCCCCATTTCCTTCTTTACTTTTGGAAAAAATAAAATCAGATAAATTTAAACCAAAGCTTTGGGTTAAAAAAGATTCTTGTTATACCAAGCTTACATTGGAAGTCAGCAGGCTCAGATTCTTGGTTCCTGAAAGCTCATTTTTGAATCACCGACAAGGGAGGAAGAGAGAGACAGATACAGAGAAAGAGAGAAAGACAGAGACAGACAGACAGATGCTACTCCTAATGTCAGGGAAATATAGAGCCTGGCAGCTTCTTTTCCCCAGGCATGAGAACTGAGAGTCATACCCCCTCAAGCACTAGGGGCCACTAAGAACATCCACTTTCAAATTTTGGAGAGCCTGAGCCTCCTGAGTCAGGCATTGGATGTGTAGCTGTGCAAAGTGGTTTGTTTTTTGTGGGTTTTTTGTGTGTTTTTACAAGGAACCCTGCTGTCCTTCATATAGTTCCCTTTTGTCATCTCCATGACAAGCAAGGAGGGCGATCTTCCTTCTGAAGCCAGAACTGACCTTCTGAATGCAGAAACTGTCTTCTCTTGCTGGCCCTCTGCCCTTTCTGAATCTCTCGATCAGAGACCCTTTGGTGATAAGCCTAGGTGCAGTCACTCTCCGACTTAACATGAGCACAAAAGGTCAGACTTTGGTCTAAAGTTGCAGATCTAAGACCAGACTAGCCTTACTCTGGCTCACCTCGCTGCAGATTCACTGGGTCCTGCTAGTGGATACTGATCCTGTCCTTTGGCCTGTTGCCTGAAAGGTTCTCCCAGACACACCCCAGAACCAGAGCAAAGTTTCTGTTTTCAGTTCTGGTAAATGGCTTTCTACACCCAGCTCTCTCTTTGGGTGAGAAATCAAAGAAAACTATGCTTGGGGCAGAAGTCCTGACATTACTGGCAATGAACTTGGGGTTATAAAAGTTTAAGAAAAGAGCATTAGCTCTTTGCAGCCAAATCACATTGGCAGAGGATTCAACAGTCGCTAAACATCTGATAGCCTTTAAGAAAAGGAATTTAAAGGAGGCTAAGTAAATGAATTCAAATAAAGTTGCATTTTCTTAGATCTGGAAAATCTTTAAAGAAATAGAAAATATTGCCTGGCTACTGATGGCTTTGGGATGGATGCACCATTAAATCCCAGGTAGAGTTATGATTTGGTCAATCCACAAGAATTTACTTACATACTATGTGCCATGCACTGGGCTGGGTGCTGGGGAATACAAGTACCAAGAATTCAATAATCCCTCCTTGCCAAAAGCTTACATTATAATGGGGAAGACAGCAAGGACATATAAAAATGTCAACAGCATAAGTGTAAACTTAATGCATACAAATACAAATGCATGCAAAGTATATACTACTGACCATGTCACACTGGGTGCTTGGGTATGTGTGCTCTAGAGAAGAGTAACTGGTAAGATTCATAACACCTGCCACATACTTGCGGGCTGCTGAGATGTCTGGTAGTCCTTTGTGGCTTCTTAGGGGGTTTTCCTGTAGCACTTTTGTGTCAGCCGTGGGGCATGAGAAATTAGAGAAGAGTGTGGTTTAGCATAAGTGTGTGTATTGGTGGGAAGGGTGTGGATGCAGAGGGTTTGTGAAATTCAGATTAAAGAGATAAAGGTTCTTGGTGGCAAGACTAAGGGCTGCTGCTTTAGAATGGTATTTCCTTTCAAAGAATTAAGGGGAATATGTTACTGGTACATGGTGTAAAAGAGACCAATATAAGGCATTCTACGTTCAGCTCCATGGGGCCCAGGAACATGAAGTCAAGAGGGGAATTCCAGTGTACTGGAATCTTCAGTTCTTCTGAAGTTGTAATTTTTCCATTTCCTGTCGAGGAAGAGGGGAAGTCCCATCGGAGGAGAAGTTTGCTTCCTGTTCCTCAGGCATCAAGAATTGTTGTTTCTTTCAAAAAAAAATTGTCATTTCTCTTCTTGCTTAGATAGGAGACTAGGGAAAGTATAAGAATCTAAACTGGGTAGATTTTGAGGAAAACGTGGGTAACCCCTATTACTCACAATTCTCAGTGTTAGGAGGGCTTGCTTTGTGCTTTTGAGTCTTGATGCTTCTCCCTATTCTGACTTTTTTTGGGGGGGGGCAGTGTTTGTTTCCCGTGCTGTACCAAGCTGTGAATGTTATTTCCTCCCTCACTTACCTCTGTAAAAATTTGAGAAATTAGACTTGACTTAGCAGATTCCTGGCCAGCTTCAGAAAATCTTTTAACCTTCCTTGGATATAGGGGTTAAGAGGTCAGTGAGTGGGGAAGGACATCAATGAGAATACCCATAGGGCAGCTAGGTCCTCTTTAGTTCTCATAACATGTGGTCCATTCTGCCCTTTTAGTTGCCCCATAGAAAACAACAGTGGCATCCAGTGGCCACTTTGGTCAACCATAACCTTCCTTCTTTCTGGGTCTCCCCATCTCAGAATGATGATCCTTCTGTCTTCTGCTCTAGGAGAAAGCCGTTAGTCCTTTGGTTTTCTCTGATCTGAAAACCAAGTGAATTGTGCCCCTGAGTGGAAAAGGATTGTGAAGATTTCTTGGCTTTGGTTTGGGGGCACCTAGGGTCTAGTATGAGCTATAAAGAGATGAGAGAAGTCAGAGAGGAAAGGGAATTGGGGGTTTGAGTAAGGAGTTCATGACCCTAGAGTCAGCCCAGGAGAGCCAATATGGGAGCTCGCATTCCTGCTGCTCTTCCTAATTCCTGGTTCTTAGTCTTGGTGTGGGTGAGAATAGGAGACCTGTCTGTTCTTTCTACCCCTATTAAAAACCCATTGTATTCCACTGAATAAATAGTGGCAATTTAAGGGCAAGTTTGAGTAGCTCAGGCCCTGAAATTTTTGCAATTTTAAATATCCTACTATTTATCTAAATCGATTATACATGTCAACATCAGAATGATTTGATGCAGCTTACGTGGACACACCCATCCTTATGTTCTCTTCTTACTTTACGGTTGCCAAGTAATAAACCTAGCTTTCTACATAGGGGTTGATCCTTGTACGTGCAAAATTACTGTGCCATTTCTGTTTTCCCCAGAATCCCACATTGGGATCTTAGAGCAAATGTGGTTACGCATTGTAAAACTTAGCCTATGTGAGGTTTCTAAGGAAAGTTTAGGCTGACGTGACCTCCCAGATTCTCGATGATGTCTCCCTTATGTCATCAGTTTGGAGGTACTCTCGGGTCCCAACTGATAAGCTTCTTCCAGCTCTAACAGGAATTAAACCAATATTCTTCCTTTCCTCTCCCCCCTTTCTCTAGGAGCTTGCATCCGAGAAGTCAAAGGCGGCGGCTGGGGAGGCCAATGTGAAAAAACAGCTCTTGGCCAGGGAGCAGGAGATCATGGCTGTACAAGCACGCATGAAAGCTAGTTACCGGGACCACGTCAATGAAGTGCAGCAGCTGCAGGGGAAGGTGAGGCATTTGTCAGCCTGCAGGCTGCAGGGCAAAGAGCTTTGGGCTCTGGGGAGCATGAGTCTGGCTCTGGGTTTAGACCAGGACCTGAAATCCGTTTCTGCTGGGGCAGTTTTTGTTACAGCTCAAATACTAGGGTCACTTATAAAAGAGGTAGGAGAATGGGAAGGATTTGGATGATTGCATTCATTTTAGGGGAGTGTCATATAAGCCAAGAAAGGAAACCAGCGAAAGGGGGGCCAGAGGAATGTAGGATCTGGAAACTCTTGTGGAAGAAGGTAGGACTGTCAGCTTGGGTATGATCAAAAATTGTGATGCATCAGGGAGCCGGGTCTCCTCTTGGCCCTGTCACTGACTTGCTATATGACCTTGAACCAATCACTGAATCAATCTGAGCTAGTCACCTCCTTTCAGCCGCGGGGACAATAATCCCTGTTGTACCTACCCCACATAGTGTTGTGGAGAGAATAAGCTGAGATAATGGATATGTAAGTGCTTTGGAAAATGGAGAGGGGATGAGGTTCAAGGGTATCTATCTCAAGTTCAGGAATTGTTAAAGCTGTTTATTTTAGAAGATGAGCAGAGGAGGAAGGGCAGAAAATCCTATTTATTACCCTCCATGGCTTGCCACTGGCTTTTTCACCATTAGCTACAGATGTTTTCTTTCAGCTTGATCTCTTGCAAGGTGATAATGGGTCAGGAGAAGGAAAGAGAAACTTGTCTTCCTCTTGGGCGATAAGAGGTTTTATTGGTTTGTGGTAACTTGTTTTATCTCATAATACAAATGTCAAACTGTGTAACCACAGAAGAAGTGAAGCAGGGAATGTTTCTGAGGCCCTACCCTGAATCTTTCCTAATAGCCTGAGAGGCTATGGTGAAAAGGTTTGGAAGTAATGAGGAATGAGAAATAAATAGACTAAAAAAAAAAATCTAATTCAAGGGCTCTCAAGAAGAGAGCTGTATTCTGCAACCCGGATTCCATACTGCAGAAAGCAAGTTTTGGTGTGAGTTTGGGGGTGTATCTTCCCTCAGGCATTGTGGACTGATGCTCTTCTACCCTCTAAAATTCATTTTCAGATTCGAAGTCTTCAAGAGCAATTGGAGAATGGACCAAACATGCAGCTGGCTCGTTTACAGCAAGAGAACTCAATTCTGAGGGATGCTTTGAATCAAGCAACCAGTCAGACTGAGAGCAAGTAAGCTTCAGTATTCACTGATAAAAAATGGAAACTTGAATATGCTTGCTGAATAGCCCTGTAATCACACTAAACCAGAGATTCTTAACCTTTTTTATGTATTGGCCCCTTCTGGCAGCTTGGTGAAAGCCTACTGATCCCTTTTCAGAGCAGTATTTTTAAAAAATTCATAATGGCAGGATATGTTAAATTTCAGTTAGAGAATAGTGAAAACAAAGGTGTGATTTTTTTTTCCCCCATAAGAATTCACAGACTCTCTGAAATCTATGGGCCTTTAGACCTCAGGTTAAGAACCTCTGCACTCTGTAAAAAAATGAATCCCTTCCTTGGAAGTCACAAGAGGGAGGGAGAGCATTCAGTAGGTCTTGTGTATATTAACTTTTTCCTGTGAGGACCATTGTTCATGTACTAGTGATCACAGACATAAGCTGTACATAGGGTCAGTTTTTCTGTTTCTTTTCATCAGGTTTGCTCTTAGTGTGGATCTCTCCCCCTGGCTCCTTATATAGGTGACAAAGCTTCAATGGTATAACAAATGAAGGCTGGAGGAGGGAGATCATGTCATTTTCTGTGGCCTGAAACTTAGACCTTGCGTTTTGTTAGGTGCCCTCTGTGTTACTGGGTGATACTGACATCTTACAGAGATTTTCCCCCATGACAAATAAAGGACTTTCCCCATATATACCTAGACAGTATCCTCATAGTGGTAGACTTTATTAATGTCCCCCTTAATAGAATGAAATTAATCAAAGCAGAAATAAAAAGTTAAACTACTTTTTTCATTTTCACTTAAGTATTTTTAAAGTTTATTTTTTTCAGTGAACAAAATCTATTTCTCTTTTTCCTACTTCCCTCTTCCTCTGTTCATTTGGAAAAAGAAAAGGAAAAAACCCTTGTAATCAATATGCATAGTAGAAGAAAACAACTTAACCATGTCCAAAAAATATGAATCATTCTGAACCCCAAGTCCATCACCTCTCTGTCAGCAAATGAATAGGTTGCTTCGTCATTACCCTTGGAATTGGGGTTGGTCATTGTGGATCAGAGTTCTTAAGCCTTTCAAAGTTGTTTTTCTTTATAATTTTGTTACTGTCTAAATTCTTCTCCTGATTCTGTTCATTTCATTCTGCGCCAGTTCCTACAAATCTTCCCAGGTTTCTCCAAAACTGTCCCTTTCATCATTTCTTACAGCACAATAAAATTCCATTACAAGGAGTTAAAACCAGGACCAGAAATACATTCATTAGCATAATTTGTTCAGTCATTTTCCAAATAGGGACTCCTCTCCTTTAGGTTCCAGTTCTTTACCACCACAAAAAAGATCTGCTTTAAATATTTTTGTACATATAGGTCTTTCCCCTCTTTCTTTTATCTCTTTGGGTCATAGACCTGGCAGTGATACTACTAGGTCAACTGGTATGCACAGTTTAGTAAATCTGGGGGCATAGTTCCAAATTGGTTAAGCAACTTTTCAAAGGCCATAGTTAATGATTAATGCTGTAGAGGTCTGGACTTCCAGAGCTGGTCAGCTAGCTGCCTGACACTGAGTTTTCCAGCATAGTCCTCAGCTTAAAATGATCCCATTTTCATCTAATCAATCACTGCTTTGTAACACACAAGAAGATGTAACTTGCCAAACAGTTATTATTTTTTCCCTATAAGCTGTATGGCTAAGAAAATAATACATTGGGTACTATGTCCACTTCTGAGTTCAGCATTTAACTTTGTTGTGGTAAATGGCAGTTTCATTAAACAAATGTCTTTGCCTGAGCAGTATCTTCACTTTCATTTAGGGACCTTTTGAGCTAAAGTGCCTTGCCATGATTCATTCTAAGATGCTGATACTTGTTCCCATTTACTTAGCTGACTTTATGGATACAGAGAGTATGACAAGACTAGTAGAAGACTGAGGTATTTGAAAAAGTGAAAATAGGATGGAGAAATCCCTCAAAATTTCCTTCATCATGCTGAGGGAGGGTGGCTGTGTTGGATAGTGAGCTTAGCTCTCTCATCAGTGCTCCTTATGGTGATGAAGGGCCCTTGTAAAGCTATTTACATCTTGAGTTCCTCTGTGGATGTCATTATCTTCTTCCGTGTTTCACCTGTTGAGCTTGAATCTTTATGGTTGCCATTTCCTGAATGATGACAAATAGAAGATTGTAGACAGAGGAACTCTGACTGTCCTCCCATGCCTTGAATGTTACCCCTGTTTCTGTATATGCTTATGCTTCAAGGCAGAGGAGAAAATTTCACTCTATGGTACATCTTCACTTGATCTCTAAATTCCTCACTCTGGGACTGGTTCTTAACCTGAGGCCTATGAATTTTCTTTTTAAAATATATATTTATATGCCATATATCATCACATTATATATCATAATATATAATATTTATATATAATTATAACATGGTATTTATAATTATAATATATAACAATATAATTTCTTTTTTTAATAACTATTTCAGTAGAATTGGTTTCCTTTGTAATCCAGTGTTTTTTATTTTGTTCTGTTAAAAACATTCTTTTTTTCTTCTTTCTTTTCTTTTGAGACTTGGTCTTCCTAGCTCACCAAGCTGAAAATTGAGTGGCTACTCATGGGCCTGATCACAGTACTGATTGGCATGGAAGCTTCTACCTATGTCATTTTTCAAACCTGGACTGATTTGCTCTTATTTTGGTCCTTCACTGGTTGGGTCTTACCGTAAAGCTTTAGCCCTCTTTCAGCTCAGAACTCCTGAACTCAAGCAAACTACCACCTTCAGCAAGGACTGCAGGCATCTGCCACCATGCTAGACCTAAAAATGTTATCCTGAGAAGGGTCTAATTGTCTACTCCAGTTATTGATTTTTCCTTAAAGCTTGTCAGATGTCAGATTTTGGGGGATTTGTTCCCTTGGCGATAATCTTCTATGGAGAGGGAAGATCTTAGGAAGAGAGCCATATGTGGCCTTATGGCCACAGGTTCTCCACCCCTGGTCTGTAGGCTTTACCAGACTACCAAAGGTGTCCATGACAACTGGTTCAGGTAGTCACAGAGCCCTATACCTAGGAAAAATGCCAAGATGGCATTTACTCTAGTCTCTGGCTTTCTCTGACTCATCCCATCTGGCTGATTGTAGAGCCTATTCTTTTTTGTTGTTGTTGTTGTTTTTGTTTGTTTGTTTTCTTTTGTGAGGCAGTTGGGGTTAAGTGACATGCGTAGGGTCACACAGCTAGTAAGACACTGTTATGTGTCTGAGGCCGGATTTGAACTCAGGTCCTCCTGAATCCAGGGCTGGCGCTCTATCCACTGCGCCCCTAGCTGCCCCAGTGGAGCCTATTCTCAAAGAGCACCAGGGTATTCTGTGACCCGGAATCACAGAATACTAGAGCTGAAAGGATCTCAGCAATCATCTAACCTGTGATATAATGGGAACAGCACTAGACTCCTCAAGCTTGGTTCTTCTCCTAGCTTTCTTGGGCAGGTTGTTTCCTTTCCCATAAGCTTCATATATCCTTATGTAAAATGGAGGGGTTGGACAAGATCATTCCAAAGGTATTCTTTCCAGGTCTTTCCAGGCTGTAATTCACTGGTTCTAGGCTAACTAACCTTATTCAGTAATTGATCTGTTTATTTTTTATCTTTAGGAAATTCTTCCCTCTATTTAATCTCTATGTATGGGAGTGAGTTTAAGGGCAAATTTAAGTTTAACTTTAAAGTGTGGTATTTCAAAAGTATGAACAAAAATGAACCCATTTGATATTGCAGAAATTTTATAGTATATGCCTTTCTAGCAATAAGGATATGTAGTATTGTGTCCATTATAGGTAAATAATAATATCCATGAAACTTGTTTACTCTGGTTATTAATTTTTCCTTAAAGTTTGTCAGATGTCAGGTTTTGGAATTTTTTTCTCTTGGCTAAATCTCCTGTGGAGAGGGAAAACCCGAGAGCCAGTTTCTTCATTTTAATTTCATATAGGAGAATGCAGTGTTTAAGTTTTTTCCTCCATTTCCTCTAGGTTAAAAGCATTCTTTAACTTTTCCTTTTGGATTGTCAGTGGTTGCTGAAGGATAATCCATCCTGATGAGCTGTGTATTGTTGAGTTGGGCTTTTAAGTTTTTTCTTTTTTATTATGAACTTAATCTTCAATAAACACAAACATTTCAGTATGCTGAGATGAACAAGACAGAAATCGTGTAAGAAACTGGGGACTTTTATACAATGTATTTTGAAGGTTTTTTTGTAAAGAAATGCTTATATGTAAATTTTTTCCAGTTATTTTTCTTCCCCCCTCTCCATTTTACTGATATCTTTTAACTTCATACTATCTTCATTTTTTAATAAATCCCTACCCTTCATCATCCTTGTAAGCTATCCATTGTAAAAAAAAAAAATGGGTGAGGGGACCAGTTCAGTAAAACTAATACATCACCCTTGTTTTGTAGCATATGCAATATTCCCCTTCCTTGGCCCCACAACCTCTTCAAAGAAAGGAGGGAGTTGCCCTTCCCCCGGTACCTTCCCCTCAACTGTTCTCTGGAACCAAGTTCGATCATTACAATGACACAGCATGGAGTTTGAGTTGAGGGATCCTCCCCCCTCTCCTTCCCATTTACAGTATTCTAGTCGTGTTTGTTTTCACTGGAAACTGTATGTTGTAAAGATAGTCTGGTGGCCTCTTTGGGAGTTAGCATTTGGGTTCTGATCCCAGTTCTGCTCTTGAATATTTGTAAGACCTTGAACAGTTCATTTTTCTGCTTTTATCCTTTTCCCCCTTCCCTCGTACTCCCCCTACCCTTCCCCAACCTGTTTCATCATCTGGAAAATCATAAGGTTGAACAGAGATAATCTTTAAGGTCCTTTCCAGCTTTCAAGTTCTATGATTCTATGAGTATTTTATGAGACCCTTCATTAGTCCTGTTTTCTTCAGCTCACAAAATTAGCTGAGGAAGTAGGAAATGTGGATTAACAAAGTACATTCTGCACTAATGCTTAAGTGCTTTACAATTCAAGAAAATTCATTCCTGATTGCAGAGCTTGTTTGTACTCTAAGGAGAAATGAGAACATGGATGCTTGGCTACTTCTCTCTCCTCTGAATGCTTAGAAAATCCCAGGGTAGCTCTCATGGAATTGAGCCTTACTGATGAACACACTTTTTTTTTACTTTGTGTTCCCCCCATAGTTAAGAGTTGTTTTTTTTAAACTAGAGAGTTCTAAAATATATTTCATTTGTCACCAAAAAAAATCTGTTTTTAAATTTAATATTTAAAAAGTTTTATCAGTGCTTTTTGTTTTTCTGTTATATTTATACTCGTTCTTAACATCAATATCACTTTTCAATTATCTCCTCCTCCCAGTAAAACTCTCCTTATAAGTAAAAAAATGAGTAAAAACAATGAGGAAAAGCAAACTAACATTTTGACTCACTACCTACTATGACAAGAGTAAGCCGCATTCTCCTCTACCACCTTTTGGTTGAAAAGTGGGAGGTATTTGATAACCAGACCTTTGGAATCTAGATCAATCATTGCATTGATCTGAGTTCTGATGTCTTCTAGTGTTTTCTATTACATTATCGTAGCCATTGAATTACACTGTCTTTTAAAGTGCTACACGTCTCTTTTGAGAGAATTATTTTTTGTAAATTTCCTAATGCATAGTGAGAATTATCTGGCTCAAAGAACTATTCACTTTTTAAAATTAATTTTTTTCAATGAACAAAAATAGATCCTGCTCCCCAGTTGAAGGGGTAGAAAGCTATGTAAAAAATATGTATAGTCAAGCAGAAAAACTTTCTGCATTGACTGTGTCCAAAAGAAAAATCTGTTTCATTCTTTTCTCTTGAGTATATTTCACCATTGGTCCTTGGGGAATCATGGTTGGTCATTGAATTGATCAGAATTCTTATTGCTTTCAAAGTTGTTTGTTCTTGTAGTGGTGTAGTTGTTATATAAATTGTTCTTCTGGTTTTGTCACTTCACTCTGAATCAGTTCATATAAGTCTCCCCAGATCTTTCTGAAATTGTCCCCCATATGGCACAATAGTATTCCATTACAGGTCTCTTCACTTTCTGAGCTAGTCACTATCTTGGAGAAAAATCATGAGAGGCTGAGTCAGTTGTGGACCACTTTACATTTTCCAGCCAAGCCCTTCATGTGTCACTGGAATTCTGTTCTGTTGTTGTTTTTGGCATGGGGGAAGAGTTGGTCTCCTTAGCCTAGGAATCTCAAGCATATTAGCTTGTAACGTTGAGCTGAACTCTCAGTCTGATCCAAGGACATAATTGTCTTCCAGGCAGAATGCTGAATTGGCCAAGCTCAGACAAGAGTGTAGTAAGCTCACAAAAGAAGTGGCCGAAAAGTCTGAGGCTGTGCAGCAGGAGGAACAGCAGAAGAAGAGCTTGGAGAAACAGGTCCACCAGCTGCAGGTGAGGCATGGGCCTGGTGCCTCCCATGGGTTGGTTCAGCCCCTTTGGCGCCATGCTCAGTGTGTGATGAGGAGAGATGATACAGTCAGTCTGCCCTTGGGCCCACTGACTCTTTTTCTGGGAACCTTGTTGGAATTGATCTGATCTGTTCACCCTGACTCAGCTCTTCTCCTTTGTGATGAATGAAATCCATGAATTTGCTGGAGGCGCAGCTGAACAGTATTAAAAGATTAGCATAAAGAATTGGCCATCTCTTTTTAGGCATGGAACCCTGGACAGTGGCCTACTTAGGCTCAAATTCTCTTTGGGGACTGCTAATTGGCTGTGGAGACATGACTTCTTATTTGAAGAGCCTGGCTTATTTTTACCCACTTGTGTAAGCCCTACTTTTGTGGGGGCAGACTGCCTCAGAATAGGGTCCTTTCCCACTCAGAAGTGGCTTTTACATATCTGACCATTCATAAAAATGAGGAGAATAATGCCAACCACTTCCTCCTGAATTTAATGCGGTCTCATCCAAATTGATTAGGATGCCTGTCTTCTGAAGGCCTATGCCTAAAAAGCAGAAGCCCCAAATGCAGCTTGGGAATGGAAACAGATAATATTCAGAGGGTATTTGACCCAGGTATGGAGAAAACCTTCCTGTTATGCCAGTTTTTTTGTTTGGATTTTTGGATAAAGAGGAAATTGTTATCTGAGGTACTTTTGGTCCTATTTCTGTGGGATCATCAAAGCATGAGTGAAGGAAGTTGCTTACAGCAACTAGGTGTAGTTGGGAGAACTTGTTCTGGTCTTACTTTTGCTCCATAATTAACTAGGTGACCTTGGGCAAGTCACTTAACCTCCTTGGGCATCAGTTTCCTTATCTGTAAAATGAGAGTGTTTGACCCAGGTTTCTTCTAGCTCTGACATTCTATGAGCCTGTCCAGTTTATGAATGGTATTTGAGGCTTTCCTTTTTCTAATTTTTTTTCCCTAAAGAGAAGAGTATAATTTGTTTCTGGTGGTCTGCATTTTCTCCTTCCTAAATTTAAATCTGAGGTTGGGATAGTTTATCCTTTGGGTATGGCTCAGTCTTTAGTAGCTTAAGATACTAATTTCAGGAATCATCCCTTTGACTTTGAATCTAAAGCTTTTGCTTTTCCTATTGGAAACCATCTTTTCTCTCAATTAAGGCTTCCTGCTATGGAGACTTAAGCTTCTGGGATCCGAGTAGATGTGAGCTCTCCATGGCTGGAATTTTCTTTACGTTTTCAGCATCGCTAGCAGTCTCATCATATCATATCTTCCTTCTTCTTTCCTGGCAAGAATACAGATCTCTGGGAAGGGAAGGAGGATGCCTCTGAAACCCGATTCTGTATCTGACTGGCAACATTGTGAAACGTACTGAGAAGAGAACAGATGTGTCTTGTGTTCAGCCCATCATGACACATGCAATTTTAGTAGATGAACTGAAGTTTTGGAAACATCTGAGGGTTTTTTCAGTATCTAGCAGGCCTCTTGCATGCCTGTCTCACTGAGTTATCTTACTATTGTAAAGCATCTCATGGCCTAACAACATTTATATCTGGATTGCTATCTCATCAGGGTTTTAAGTACTTCTTTATTTCAGTCCTTTACAGTCAACAAGCTTACCTTCTGCTGGAGAAAGAAAATATACAGATAATTAAATACAAAATAACTACAAAATAAAGTCAAAGCAGTGGGGAGGGGTGGGACGGCAGAGGTGTAGAAAATAACAGTGGGGGAATTGGGCCAGGCCTCTTATAGGAGAAAGCACTTGTGTGAAGTCTTGAAGAGAGAAGGATCTAGGGATTCCAATGGGCAGAAATGGGGAGGGAGAGCATTTGAGATATGGAGGCAGGAGATACAAGCTGGCTGGTTTGGCTTGAACATAGATTGTGTAGAGAGAATCACAGGACTCCAAGTGCCAAATGCAAGTTTGTAGTTTCTAGAGGTGGCTGGGAAATGAAGCAACAGCGCGTAGAATAATTCCAGGAAAGTAACTCTTCTCAAAAGTTCACCTGATTTCTGGTGCCCTGTAAGGTTAGAGCCAGTACTGCTTTGTACCTTAGAGGATAGAGGGAATTGGAGCCCTGTACATAGGATGCACCAGTCTATAAGTAAGCCAGGTAAGGAGGAGCTCATAGGTTCGCAACCTTCTTCCATATCTAGAGGCTGTGTTTAGTGATTCATCAATGATTTTTACTGCATTTGTTTGCATGTCCCTCCTCTTCTCCTCTCGGGGTGAGGGGGATAGGCTTAGTGTGAACAGACTACATCCCAGATCATCCCTTTAAAATAGAATGTTTTGGAATGTTACCAGATTTGAAGTCAAGCTTCCCATCCCATGGTTTGCACACTCCACTCTCTTCCTCTCTCTGTCTCTCAGTCTTTCTCTTTCTCTCTCTCTGGAAAGAAGAAGACATTTGCCCTACTCCTCTAGGCCTCCTGTGCTATTCTCAGGCCCTGGTCTTTCAGTTACTGAGAGTAACTCATCAGTAACACCTTCCAGGATTCTGGGATAAAACTTGCCTGGGCCCAGTGACTTGAGCTCACTGAGGGTAGGGAGGTAGACTTTTACAATCTCCTTATTTCCTCTAAGCATTTCTTACTAAGCAAGAAAATGATTATCCTCTCACTCTAAGAGATGTGCCAGCGTTTTTCTTTGGATTTTAAAAAAATGTTCTTGTTTCTAATATTGATTTGCTCACCTGACCAAATGTTCTATTTAAAGTTAGCATTGAATGGATGAAAAGGCTTGGCAGCAACTCAGAACCTCAGTAATGAAAGTATCTGACTACATTAGACTCATTAAAAAAAATTACTCAATAGTTCTGCTTAGAATAGTTGCCTGTCTCTGGTGTTGCCTGGGAACATGATGGGAGAGAAGTTCTCCTTGCTCCCTTCCAGGTCAGCTGATAGGAGCAGAAAAATCAACTTGTTCAGGAGTTCTCTGGAAGGCCACATCACCACATTCCTTCCTCATTTATTCCTTTGGAATTTGAGTGAAACTGTTCCACTGTCGTGTCTTTATTATGGAAAATGTTGTTCATTCTAAAACTGCACACAAACTTCCACTGGGCAGAATACATTCAGGACATAGTTTAAAAGAAAACCTCTGAGGATGGTTTTGCTTATTTCCAGTCCTGCTTTTAACTCCTTGTCATTCATTGTACAGGTTGATGTCTATTCCTCTAGTTGTGAGCAGCATTCGATTGTTTTCAGTGTGCAAGTCAGACCAGCCTTTGTCTTCTGGAATCACTTTATATAGAAAAGGAAGAGAGGCTGGGTTTGAGCAATCCTGATTAAAGGAAAGCCTGTCATCCCACTTTAGCTCAGAATGCCTTCTTAACAAACAGTTACTCTTTTTTTTTTTTTTTTAAATATGTGCCTGTAATTTTATTGGTGAGACAGCCTGAGGCCTCTCAACTTTTTGTTTTTGAGAACTGATATATTCAGAGTTTGTTCAAACAATTGCTTTGGCTTTTTTGCCTCCTTCACTTACTTCCCTTGGCTGAGGGTTATGAACTGCAGGAAAATGAATTGCAAATTTCAAGATATGATTCCAAAGATACATACTGAGGAAATCAAGGCTGCCAACATAATTTTTTTTCCTAATGGGTACTGGGATAAGGCAAGAAAATCATGTTGCATGCTTTCCTAAGTTTGGGAATTCAACTTCTCCCTCTTTCTCTCTCTCTCATTTTTTGTCCTTGCCCTCCCTCTTCCAGGTTTCTCAAAAAGAAAAAGAAGATGCCCTCCAGAAGAGACTAGATGAAGTGAGCGGAGAGCTGCGCAAATCCCAGTCCAGCTACAAAAATCTTTTGGCAGACTTGGAGAAAGCAAAAGGAGATCAGCAGAATATTGCTGGTTAGATAATTCTATCACTCCTCTGTCCCTATGTGTTAGAAAATTGAGTGGCAAAGGCAAATCAAGCTCGTAGCCATTTCTAAGAGTTAGAGATGCCAATGTTTCCTGCTTGTTTCCAATGCCATTCAATCTATTGCCCCCATAACTTTGTTCCTATGGCACACCCACGCTCCCTCACTCTAGCTCTAGCCAACTCCTTCTATGATGTAAACCTTCCAACTGGCTTTGGGATATTTCATGACTATGAGAAAAATGAATCCCTCGAGTTTAGGTGTGGATTTGACTGTTCATGAGCATGTATAGCTTTCCTTTTGTTATTTCTTGGCCCTGTCTCAAGTTGGAAGCAGGAAAGGATTGTTCTTTTTAAAGTCAAAGAATCATAGTACTGCCAGCTCAAGTGGTGAAAAAGTCCAAGGTCAGTGAGAATAGGGGGGAGGAATTGAACTCGAAGCAGAACCCCTAGATTTGAATTGTGGCTCTGTCACCTGCTCTCCTTATAACTTTGGGTAAATCCCTTCACCTCTCCAGGCTTCTATTTTCATAGGATATCTGTTTAGAGCTGGAGGGTACCTCAAAAGGCCATCTAATCCAACACCCTCACTGAGGATCAGGGAGATTAAATAACTTGCTATTATCTAGTGAAATAATATATTTGAACTACCCCAGGCCTGCCCTTTAACCAGCTGCATGAACTCTGGTAAGATGGCTTTGAATGAGAATTCTTTCCTGAGAGGGCACAGGAAATTGGTGGGACCTATGTACACCAATTAAACTTAACTTCAGAAGATGCACTTTTGCCAGGTCCCCACCTTGATACATCCAGTGAACTAGTGCAGAACTCACAAATATACAGACTTGAGGTTTCTACTTTCCTGATGTGAATTCTTTGTACCACCATCCTTCTAGGGTTCGGTATAATTTCATCAGCTCTGCTTTGTGTGAGTGGGTGAGGACAGGAGAGTGGTTAGAGCTTCAGAACATTATAGTGGGTGCTGGGGTGAGACACGAAAATCATATTGCATGTTTTTCTAAGTCTTGGAGTTTGACTTCCATATAAAGACTATGGGGATAAGGAGGAATCACCCAAATAAAAAATAGTTTGAACTTCGAAACGTTTTCACTTTCTGCAGAATAAACTTAGTCATATCACCCCAGTTTGTTTTTTCTTCTCATGTGAGTTAGAATTTACCAAAGTGAAATAAGTTCTCCTGTGCCATTCTTCTAAACCCAATTAATTGCCAGCCTCATTTTATAGTGTTTGAGTAATGGTGTGAAGCCGTTTGCCCTTCTTTTATAATTATAAAAGATAGTCCCATCTATTTTCATAGAAAAATTCAGGTTAGTTAATGCTCTTTCCTATCTGCTTATTGTCTGTGTTTTCAATGGTTAATAAAATCATCATCATTATTTTTTCTTACCAGTTAGCATACATAGTGTGTAGTGGATAGATAAGAAAGTCTGGGTTCAAGAAATCTTGTCTCAGACACTTACTTATAGTGTGATCCTGGACAAGTAATTCAGCCTTTCTTAGCTTTGGTTTCCTTATTTCTAAATTAGGGATAATAATAGCTCCTGCCCCACAGAGCTCTCATGAGGATCAAATTAGATAAGCTATGAAAAGCAATTTGTAAACCTTTAAAGACTATCTAACTGCAAGTAATTATTATACTTAAACCTCCCTGTTTAAAACCCTAAGCGTTTTCGCCCCTTTAACTAAGATGCACAGGAGACAAGGTGTTACAGTAGCAGATACTATATAAGTTCTGGAGAGAGCAGACTGGGAGTCTTTTCTTGACTATCCCACTTATTCTTCTCTCTCCCCGCTCCCCCACCCCCACCCTTTTTCTTCTGTAGAACTGCATAGCAAATTACAGTCCTCTGAAACAGAGGTGAAAAGCAAGTCTGAAGAGTTGAATAAACTCAAAGGAAAGCTGTTGGAGTCCAGTACAGAAAATGCAAGACTCACAGAAAGGATCAAATCCATCGAGGCTCTCTTGGAAGCTGGCCAGGCCAAGGAAGCCAAAGACACCCAGGTCAGGACTCATCACCCTTTCTTTCAAGTAGGCCTCCATTCATGAAAATTTAGCAAGGGCTATCCGTGTCTCCTCCAAGCTCTTTGGGATCCTGTCTTTCCCACTTTTGGGTCCATCGTTGACATGAATTGTAGAAACCAATCTATGTTCTCTCTTTCTGCTCTCTGAGCTAGGCCCATAATAAAGACAGGTAGGGTGGAAATAGATTTGAATCTTTATTAAAAGCAAAGGAAAAAAATCTAGAAAAATCTTGTGTTAATGAGTGCCTGTTTTGTCTTTTCACTTTAGGCTAGCCAAGCAGAGGTGGAACAGCTTCAAGCAAGGTAAGACTGGAGAGCTGAATGGTTACATGCTACTCCTTCATTGACTTTTAGGCTTCAAGTGGGGTAGTTTGAGTTGAGGTGAGTTTGAAATGAGAAAGGCCTCAGATTTTCAGAATAAGTCCATTTTTAAAGGCTCCTTTTCTGTCGTCTTTGCATTGACTAGCATGCTGAGGATAATTGTAGACTAAGGCTACTATGTGAATGGTGATGGGTGGATACAATTGTTTCTTCTTCCTACATAGACTATCATGTTAAGAATAGAAGTTGTTGGCTCTTGTTACTCGTACATCCCCTGGGAGGGAGAGCAGGGTGACTTAAAATTGGTGAGAGAGAGAGACAGAGAGAGAGAGTGTGTTCACACATGCATATATTTAAAAGGTAGGATTAAAATAGTGCAGTAGTGGATACTTAGGGGAGTTGATTATATTTCAGTGTTATTGAAAAACTTACCATGAGAACAAATGTTTCAGTGCTGGTTTGTTCACTGGCTTGCACATTTGGTACTTGAGTTTAGCCAAAGCTTGCTGGAGTGCGTGATTATTTGTTTTTGTTAATGAGATGACTTTAGTCTGGCCCAAATCTTGTTTTTTTGGTATCATCAGACCCATGGTGCTGTATTCTTTCAATGCTGCTTGTCCTGCACGAGGCGTCGTTCATTTACTGTTTGTTTGGTGTTGCTAAGGGCTGAGAATGACTACACAGTAGGGCCCCAGAAGTTAACGTAATCCCAGAGTTCTTGGGGCTCACTATCTCTAGAAGCATGGATTTCTCAGTGCACACTCACAAGAGATTTAACTTGGCTGGGAGAGCAGAGGGCGCACGTATCCATGTAAGTCAATAGTGCACATCACATATTTTCTCCATCTCTGTAACACAGATGTCTATGTGGCGTCCAGCACGGTTCTCTTGCTCTGCCTGTGACTGCTAGATGAATCACTGTACTTACATCTTAAACACAGCACTATGTGGCTAATTTCTCCTGGCAGCCAGTATCATAAGCTACCAAAAAAAACCACCAGAAGGCAATGAGTCTCTCATAGGAAGACTTGGGACTAAACTCTTTACATTTTCCTGTCCCAATATATCTTATTTCAAGACACTTAGGCAAATTAGTTGAGGGGTGGTTTTTGGATACTATTTTGTGTTAAAGTTGGAATTCTTGGGCATGATGAATGTGGCTATAGAAATTGTTGTTGTTTTAAAGAAGATGGATAAGGATTTTTAGGCCATTTGGATATAACTGGCATAATTTTTTTTTATCTTCAAAAATAATTTTCCTGAAGCATTTGTTTTGAGTTCATCTGATTCTGCTGTTGATATTAACAAATCATTACTTATTTAGAACCTTGGAGAAAGCAAGGAAGAAGACAGAAAAGTAATCTATGTCTCCTTTTCATTGGCCTTTTGGTTTGTTTTCTATGAGATTTTGTCTTTGCCAAAGAGTATATTTGCCGCAGGCAGATTTTTCTGTCCTCTTTATCTAATGATATGGAGCTCATAAGGAAGGAGACAGTGTGTGGGAGTATTGCTAAGTACAGGTGAATCTAGTGTAGATTTGTGGGATGTATTACAAATATTTTTATAGGACTGATCATAGGTTTTTATGGGAAAACAGCTTTCAAGTTCATGCTGTTACTGTTTTTAGGAAAGAAGACATGGATATTGTAACTTCCAGATTATATTAACTACATAATATAACTTATTAATCCAAAGATGGATACATACATGCTTGTGTTTTCAGTTCCAATGTCTGCCCTCTTTCAGCAGCTAACATTGATACCAACTAATATCAGGATTTGGCTTATCTAGAGAATAAATGTTTTTCCTGTAGTGTTTTCAGTCTTATCCTATTATTTTGGTTAAAAATGTCAACATTGGCCAATTCTGGACACTATATTATACATTATTGGTCTAGTGAGCATTTGTGAATTACCTCTTTGTTTATTTAAAGGCTAAATTCAGGAATTATAGTGTCGATCTGAGCTTAGTTCCTCAGTGTGAAATATGTAAGATTTATGAAATTCAAATCCAAGTTATCAAGAGGCTTTTATTTGAGAATAGACTAATGGGAATTCTGAGTATGAGGAAAGTCAAGTCTGAGCAGATGTGATTGAAGTCTACACAAGTATAAAGATAGGGATGGTTCATCTTTGGGCATAGTCAGCAAATCTCAGAATATAAGAACCTTGCACATGGGAGAATTAAATTTGGGCTGATATATCCATGATGGATTTTTAAGGGACACTGGGGGTGTTTGGGCTACATCCTGAACCTTTTAAGATTGATATCATAGAAAACAGCTATGTTCTTCTACCAAAGACCTCTTTTCAAAAATAGAAATTGGGACTTATGTCAATTTTTAGATTTTTTTTCCCCCCTTACATACTGAGGTGATCATCACAGATCTGAGCTGGAAGCGCCCTTATAATGCAGTTGTAACCTGTTAGCTATACAAATGACAGCTAGGTGGTGCAGATGGCCTGACCAGGCCTTGGGTCAGGAGGACTCATCTTCCTGAGTTCAAATCTAAATTCAGACACTTAGTAGCTGTATGACCCTGGGCAAGTCCCTTAATCCTGTTTGACTCAGTTTCCTCATCTATAAAATGAGCTGGAGAAGGAAATGGCAAACCACTCCAGTATCTTTGCCAAGAAAACCCCAAATGGGGTCATGAAGAGTTGGTCATGACTGAAATGTCTGAACAACAGCTAAACAAGTTCTTGTTTTTAAAAATATAAACAGAATAACTAATTTTCTTATTGACTTTTTCTGTTTTAGAACCTTAAAATTCCAAAATAGGCTATTGACCTTTGTCTCTAAGGGGTAAATCAGTCTGTTGTGCCTAGGTGAAGTCACCCTCATCTTTGAGAGTCTCAAAAGTAGCTAGCTACAAGGTAAAACGAGCATATTACATTATCAGTTACTTGAATAAAGACATAGAAAGGGTGCCTTTTCAAATAACACAAAGATGGGAGAAATAACCAACCCAATATATAGTCAAATCAGCATGTTAAGTGTTTCAGGCAGGCTGAAATACTAGGTGAAAGTCAATAAGATGAGATTTAACAGAGATAAATGTTGAATCTTGTATTTAGGTCCTGCATTTAAGGTTAAAAAAAAAGTCAATTCTGCAAATATAAGACAGTGGAAGTATAGCTAAGGAATTCTTCATGTATAGAAAGATCTGAAGATTTTTAGCTGACTACAGACTAATTATCAGCAAAGATGTGATACAGTTGTTTAGAAAATGTTGATGTGATCTTTGGCTGAATTAAATAATAGTATAGGAATACTATAGGAATACAGAATAGGAAAGTAATAATTCTATTCTATACCTGTACTGGCTAATCACATCTAGAATTTTGTGTTCATTTCTTGGCCCTGATTAAGAAGTGCATTGATGGCTAGTATGTGTTGTGTATGGAGTAAGTGATCTTCCTGTCCCTGGAGCTGGTAGAGCAGAAGCTGTGTAACTGTTAGTCAAAGACTTTGTAGTCTTTTTTTTTTTTTAGGCAATTGGGGTTAACTGACTTGCCCAGGGTCACACAGCTAGTAAGCACCAAGTGTTTGGTCTGAGGCCGGATTTGAACGCAGGTCCTCCTGACTTCAGGTCCAGTGCTCTGTCCACTGTGCCATCTAGCTGTCCCAAAGACTTTGTAGTCTTAAGAGGGGCATACTCGGCTAGGGAAATGAATAGTCCTACTGACCCCTGCCCTGATCACTCCATAAATGGAAGAGTGTGTTCAGTTCTGGTCACTCAGTTTGAGGAAGAACATCGATAAGTTGGAGGACATCCAGATGAGAGTGACCAAGATGATGAAAAGTTTTGAGTTCAGACTTATTTATGAGATCTATTTTAAGTCTCTGGGGGTGTTTGGCCAGGAGAAGTCTTTGGGGGAGGGGTGATTGGCGTAGAGAAACATGAAAGCTGTGTTCAAGTGTTTAGAACTCATGGAAGAGGGATTAAACTTGTCTTCGTCTCAGAGAGCAGAATGAGAACCAGTGGGTAGAAATTGCAAAGAAGTAAATTTAGGCTTCGTGTCAGGAACAACTTCCTAATAATTAGCAATAATCTCCCCAATGTGGAGTGGGCTGCTTCAGGAAGTAGTGGTATCTCCATTGACTAGAAGATTTCCAACAATGTCTGGATGACCAGTTGTTGTGTATCTTGTAAGTGGGGATAGAGGTGTATTAAATGACCTCTCTGATGCCTTGCAACTCTTCAGATTCTCTCTGCATTCACGACAGGGTGGGCAGTAGGGTACTGGCCCCACTAGACAGGCTTCTTTGGAGGTAGGTTGAGAGTGGCATTGGAAATTGGGTTTCAGTTGGGAGTAGTGAGGGAAATAAAGAGTTGGGAGAGAGTACCTTTTATTTCTCTGAAGCTTTGAGATTTGCATAGTTGCAGCCTGAAAAATGAGACATCAAGTGGTGTAGTAGATTGTTGGAGTCAAGAAGACCCAAATTCAAACCCTCCCTCAGATACTTACTACCTGTGTAATTGTATAAGTCACAACCTGTCTTAGCCTTTGTTCTCTTATCTGTAAAAAGGGGCTAATAATAAAACCTACCAAGCAGGGTTGTTGAAAGGGTCAAATGAAATAGTATATGCAAAGCACATTGTAAACCATAAAGCACTCTATAGATGTTAGCTATTCTTATTTTTATTATTTATATTATTATGTACCAGATTGCACTTTGTGAATGATTTAAGCTGGTTGGGAACCCTGTTCTAAAGTGTCTTGATGTGGTTTGAACATCAGACCATTCTCATTTGAATTGCTGCCCATTTGGAGAGTGGGCTACAGGGAAGTGACTGTTTTAGAAGCAAGAAAATAATGCCCTTTTATTCCCTTTAGGCTCAAAGAACATGAGGCTCAGGTCACATCTTTGGAAAAGGAAGCTACGGAGCTAAAGGCGGCCGTCGAGCAGCAAAAACTAAAAAATAATGTAAGGGTCTACTCCAGAGGGAATTACAGCGCATGAGGGGTTGGGCTCAGGCAGCTTGAGGTGAAGAGCCTGTATGAGTATTCTATACACGTCTGCTCCTTGCTCTTTCAAAAGTGCTCCCAACCGGCAAACAGTCCTCCCCCGACCAGCAGCCCCTGAGAGAGGAGATTTAGCTCGATCTCGTGCATTAACTCCTAAGGGCTTCATGCCTCCCCAGCCCCGCTCACCTCATGACTCCACCATGAATGTTCTTCCTCTCATGTTCCCTTGCCCTCTTAGGATGTTGGAGGCGGGAGAGGAGGGTGAAGAACAGCAGCCCTGGTTGTTAGGGTCCCTTTTGGGTTTTTTTTCCACCTCTTTACCTTCAGTCCTAGTGGCAAGAATCACGGGGGGTTTCTTATCAATGTCTTCATAATCCCAGGTTCCAACCTTGGATTTAGTTTTCCTTAAGAGTATTTTGAGCCCTGATTAAAGAAGTCCTTACGCCAGAGACAACAGAGTGTGTGTGTGGGGTGAGCACCCACTGACAATTTCGTTCACTCTTAAGTATTTATTAAGTACTTAGAAAGTCCCAGCCACTATTGGTCTCTGGGCTTACAAAGTCAGAAACAAAATTGTCTCTGCCCTTAAGAAATTTTCTTCTACCAGAGGAAACGTTATGAACTCCAGGATTTCTTAACCTGAGGTCCATTATTTCTTTTTTTTTCTTTTTTTTTTTTTTGGTGAGGCATTTGGGGTTAAGTGACTTGCCCAAAGTCACACGGCTAGTACGTGTCAAGTGTTTGGTCTGAGGCCGAATTTGAACTCAGGTCCTCCTGACTTCAGGGCCGGTGCTCTATCCACTGTGCCACCTAGCTGCCCCCATTATTTCTTAACCTGCAGGTCATTTTAAAATATATTTTGGCAATTGTTATTCAATATGATTGGTTCCCTTTGTAAACTGATTTATTTTATTTTGTGCATTTAAAAACATGATTCAAAGAAGAGGAAAGGAGGATGATAAGGTCCCTAGGTTTCACCAAACTGCCAGAGGAGCCTAACTCCTGATAAACACAAAGACAAAATGTATTCAAAGTAATTACAAAGTTACCACAGGGTGAGGAGGTGCTAATAATTGAGGACGTCAGGAAAACCTGTAAGAGGATTTGAACTGAGCCTGGAAGGGAGGTCAGAGGTTGAAGATGTGACCACAAGGAGCAGGGCATTGAGAACATGGAAAGTTGCCTGTGCATGGCAGGGAGAATAGAAAGCAAGGATATTCAGTAAACCGCAGGGTACATTTGGGGAACAGAGTCCAGTTTGACTGGAGCTTAAAGTTGGTGATTAGCAGTATCGTAAGATAAGGTGGGTAAAGAAGGGTGTTGCCAGAGTGTGGAGAAAGGCCTTGAATATCAATCAAAAAATTTAGAGTTTTCTTGATAGTCAGTATCGAGCCACCAGGGTTTTTGATCAGAAGAGTGACATGACCAGAACCATGGCCATGCATAAATGAGATCACTATGGAAGTGCTACAAAGAGTAGAAGTGGGAAGAGCCAGAAGGAGGCTATTGGAGTAATCCAAGCAAGTGGTAGTGGTGAGTGGGATAGCAGTGGTCTGGAGAGGGGCACTGCTTCTTTGCCCCAGCACAGCTCTGTTGTCTTGTTGCTTCCTAGAAGGTTGACCAGCCATGATTTCGTCTGTCTGCGCTGAGCTTTTTGGCATAGGGCTGTTTAAGGCCAGGTATTCATCTCTAGGAGCTTTGTGTATGTAAGTCTGTCTTTTCAGACAGAATGTGTCCCCAAATGCCCATTCATTGCTAGAATGTAGCTGGAATTTGAAGGCAGGTTGTCAGACTGCAAGTCATTGGTTATTTATGTCAGAGCAAACATCCTTATCACCTTCCTATATCCCCATCCTCTTTTGATCCTCCTTCCGCTGCTCACCAAGTGTCGTTTAAAGATAGGCTCAAGCTATTAATTTATTACAGGGGTTCTCAGCATTTTTTGTGTCATGGACTCTCTGGCACTCTGGTGAAGGCTATAAACTCTTCAGTCATTTTTCTGTAATGCATAAAATAAAATTCATCTGCTTACAAAGTAAATCAGTTATATCAAGATACAATTATCAAAATATTAAAAAGACAAAATATATGGACGCCAGGTTATGAACTGTTGACATAATACAATCTGTCATCATAATATTGTGGAAATCTTCATCTACAAGGAGAGGTGATAGAAAACCATGATAGTCATTTGAGAGGGGAGGGAAAAAAATCCTTAAGCTACACTGTCTCATCCTTTTATTCCTTATCCCAATATGTGTTGACTGTAAAAAAGACATTTTCTGTCCTGATAGCAGGCTAGGACTGTCCCTGTAATGTGTTGAGGCACGGTAACCATATGTTTAAGGGCTCCGGCACAAGTTAAAAATTGATGGACCATAACAATGGGAAATTAGATTCCCGGTCTCCTGAATGCCACATTCCATTGATGTGGAAAAGTAGCCTACCTAGTATCCTCTGTGAGCTCATCAAAGGATCTGAAGTTGTACTTTCTGCATGTCTTAGGGGATGTTCCCATGGTCTGAGCATTGGTCCTGACCATTGTTTCCTCTCCTAGGACCTCCGAGAGAAAAACTGGAGAGCAATGGAAGCTTTGGCATCTGCTGAAAAAGGATGTGAGGAGAAATTGAGTTCTTTAACCAAAGCAAAGGTTAGATGTATTTCATGTTCGTTTCTGTCTGCGTAAATAATATCAAGACTAGTTGAGCCAAATGCATTCAAAATATGTGAAATACAGGCTGCCAAGGACTGGGGCCTGGAGCTTCTGCTGGATGGAGTCTGTCTGGGATTCTCAGAGAAGTTGATACATAAACTCCCCACTAGGTTGAGCTGTCTTCTGTTCTCTTTTGAATGAGGAGGAAAGAGTTTTGCTCTTAATTTTCATGCCTTCTCCATTTGTGTTAGCTGACACAGGCCTCCAGTTAGCTTCAGGTTCATTGATGTGTTGCAGCTAATGTTTTTTCAGCAAGTTAGTTTAGCCCATTAAATTTACTTCCTTTGCTAATGCAAACATCCAGCAGATTCCTTTTCATAGTTTTAAAAATAAGATGCAAATGACTCGTGATACTTTAGGAGAAATAAAAACCAAACTCATTTCCAACCATGTAGACTTGAGTTTTATCATTCATTAGTGAAACCTAATTTAGTGGCTGTTATCTTTTGGTCCTATGTGGAATTGTAGCTAAATATGTTAAGGCAGCTAGGTGGCGCCAGGAGTCAGGTAGACCTGAGTTCAAATTCAGCCTCAGATACTTAATAGCTATTTGACCCTGGGCAAGTCACTTAATCTCTGTCTGCCTCAGTTTTCTCATCTGTAAAATGGAGATAATAACAGTACCTGCTTCTCAGGGTTGTTGTGATGATAAAATGAGATAATATTTATAAAGTGTTTTACAAACCTTAACGTACTATATAAATGCTAGTTATCGTCGTTATTTTTACGGTAAAGTATTTTTTCAAGAAAAATGTCTTCTTGGGCAGATTGTTCAGAAGGTAGCTTGTTTGCCTCAGAAAGTGAAACAATGATAGTTAGTATCTTATATTTAGAGCTAGAAGGGACCTTAGAGGTTATCAAATCTAACCCCCTCTTTTTACAGATGAAGAATTGAGTGCCATTGATGAAGGGACTTATCCAAGGTCATACAACCAATAAGTGTGTGAGCTGGGATTTGTCCTCAGATCTTCCTGACTCCTTTATCCACTTAGCCCCACATGTGCTGCACCGTGTTGCCATAAGTCCAGGATTCTTACTAAAATACATAAAACTGCTGCAGAGGGTCTCTTGTGTTTGTTTACAAATAGATCAGTGCTTCAGGCTCAATGTATGCCAGTTTTCAGTCCAACTCAAGCATTCATCAAGCTTGTTTTAAGCGCTCGGAACCATGCTGCATTCTGGGGGTACATGTGAAGATAAAGAAATAATTCTTGCCCTCAAAAAAGTTTATCTTCTATTGGATATATAGAAGTATGTATACAAGCCAATATGTCTGTACACATTATGCTGCATAAATCTTTGAATGTGTCATTTAAATAGTATCCCTTCTGGGTGTATTGCAAATATTCTTATTAAACCCTTTACAAACCTTAGAATCCCAGGATGTTAGAACTCAAAGAGACCTAGGAGATCATCTGGTCCAAAGGTATCATTTAGGTGGCCTGCAGCCACCCACATGTGCAGCCCAAACCATTTTTAAATGTAATTGGAAATATTTAACAAAATAAATTTAAAAATACAATAGAATATAGATAATGTTAAAATGTGATTTTCTAAGTCAGTATGTGCTCATAGAGATCCATAGGTACAGTATAGTGTTCCCTCTTTCTATTTGATTTTGACACTGCTGATCTAGTCCATCCCCCTAATTTTACAGATGAAGAAATGAGACTGGATAAGTTGACTTACTCAAGATTGCCTGGCGAGTCAGGGGGCAAAGCAGGGACAGAGTAGGTCCCAGGCCTCTCTTGAGGCCTTTTGTTGAGAAGTTTAAAATGTATAGTCGGCCCTTGATTATGTGTTTGCCATTTGTCTGTGTAAAGTTTTTGTTTTTAATGTCAAGCTAACAAACCATCTTATGTCTACCCTACTACTGAGCCTCGACTCTGGTTACTCACTCTTTAGCTAGTGTGTTGTGTACTCATGAAATAAAAGTTAATTTTGATATTAACCTGAGTAAAGCTATTGAAAGGCATCATAGAGGGTTGAAATATCTGGTGTTCGGAGTTACTCATCACTTCTCCCTCCATGATTGTTCAGGATTAAATTGGTTTCAGTTACAGTTTTAGAGGCACACACTGACTCATGTGGAGGAGCATTTAGAACCTCTGGTTTTTCCTAAACCTTGTCCTCTTCATTCGTGCTGTTCTTTTCACCTTGAGCATTAAGGATGTGCCGTCTAGGACAAAGTTTGAGCAAGAAGCTGTTTTCTACTTTCACCTCTAAACTCAGCTGCGCTCTTTCTCCTTCAGGAAGAAGTAGAGAAGCAGGTCAGCAGCACTCAGACAAAGACAAAGGAAACTCTTCTCTCCCTCTTCCCAGACATCTCAATAACCACACAACAGGTACAAGTCAGAGGCATTTCGAGGGCAGTTCACAGAGGCTGGGCTGGGCTGGAGTTAGGCAGACCTCGATTCAGATACTGCTGTTGACTTTACTTCTGACCTTCAGTTTCCTCATCTATAAAATGGGAGTAATAATATCTGTAGCATTTCCCGCAGAGGTCGTTATAAGGCTCCCATGGGAATAATGTGTCCAGAATGATTTGCCAGCTTCAAAGCACTGTATCACAGCCAGCTGTTACCACTGTTAATTATTATTATTGCCTAAAGAGAAGGGAGGGGATTTGACTCTAGTGGTGATCCTTTTGCTCAGTTCAGGATGGATAGCGATCACCATACTTATTTCCTTGTTGGTTTCAGAGTTACGATGAGTGGCTACAGGAATTCAAAGAGAAGAGTACAGAAGCTGTAAAGCAGAAAGCACCTGCTGGAGTATCTTTGGTAAGAAGGTCGTAGAAATGGAAACTTTGAGCTTGGCATCCTTATTGCCAGAATAGAGCTCATGGGCTCCTTTTTTGTTTTTTTTTTTTTAATTTGGGGGTTGGGAGTAGTTGTTTTTTGTTTGTTTTTTAGTCAGTAGCAGTTTGTGGCTAATATGCAATCAATTCTTCCTGGGTTCCTTCAGGACTTAGCCTCTAAGTTAAAGGAAGCTGAGGAAGCCCAAAGCACTTTACAGTCGGAGTGTGACCAGTACCGAACCATCCTCGCAGAAACGGTAGGTTTAGTATCTTCAACATTTCAAGGATCTGTGATTTTTGTCTGTGTGGGCCCTTCCTCCACTAGTGCATAGTCTCCAATTTAAGGAAATGATTTCTGAGAGCTCCTAGGGCCCCCAAATTCATCATCCTGTGGGCAGTCTGAGGATAAGCCTCTCCTGACTATGGACCTCACACATAATAACCTGTCACCATCCTTGAAGCCTTTCCTACTTGGGATAAGGTCTCCCCAAGTTTGTACCCCATGGGCATAGCCTTTCAGAACATCAGGTCACCTTCCCACCCTGGTGAGGGATCAGAATAGGACTTTGGTGGAGAATAATGCATGTATGCTGTAGTCAGATGGGAATTCTATATGTCATTATTTCTCAAATAGCAAAGTATTTGCATGTCATCTGTGATTCTACAGAGGATTCTCCAGGAAGGTGCCTAAGTTCTAGAAGGGGGAAAGAAATGGTGGTTCAGGAATAGTACTTTACAGGGTTTGCTGAAGGGGCAAACGTGGAGTCCTATTTCCTTGATGAGACACAGCATGGTAGAAGGGGAAGACAGCAATCCTAGTTCTAACTGTATGACATGACAAGTCATGTATGCATCCTTTCTGGGTTTTTGCTTCATTTTTCAAAATGAGAGTGCTGGGGGAAAAAAATGAGAGTGTTGAACTAGATGACCTTTTAAATCTTTTCTGAGTCTAAGTCACCAAAAGGACAGGCTTGAAGATTTTACAGAACATTGGCAGTTGGAGTGAGGAAGGGAGACTTTGAGGTACCAGACCTCTAAGCATGCAGCAGAAGGGGTCTTCAGAGGGGAAATAAAGAGAGTGTATGCTACCAGCCCAGTTTTTTCTCCTTTGAAACTGTAAAAGCCATTTTGCTGGACAGGAAAGTGACCTCTGTTTTGTTTGATATCTCTTCTGCCAGCCTGTCTCCATGTTCTATCCCCTGAGAGGACATAACAAATCACAACAATTCTCCAGGTTCTAATCATATCATAGAGCTCAAATCCAATAACCAAATTTTATATTTCAACCAAAATGTATGCCCTGACCAAGGAGTGGCCTACTTTAAAAAAAAAATTAGGCAGAATTAGGTGAAAACAAAATCCTCATGCAAGAAAAGGAATTTAGATTATACCTCTGGGGTTTCTTATAATTCCTGTAGCCCTGTGGTATATGAGTTAAGTGGAGGAGAATAGGAGTGGGGAAAAAACAGGTAAGTGAGAAGGAGAAGCCATAGAAAGGGGAAGTGAAAACCAAGAGAACCGTTGTAGGCAATAATAACTATATGTTCAAAAAGCAGCTGTGAATGGGGGCAGCTCGGTGGTGCAGTGGATAGAGCACAGGCCCTGGAGTCAGGAGAACCTGAGTTCAAATCCAGTCTCAGCCCAGACACTTGGCACTTACTAGCTGTGTGACCCTGGGCAAGTCACTTAACCCTGTTGCCTAGCCAAAAAAAAAAAAAGTAACTGTGAATGACTAAGCCATTCTGAGTAATGGGATCATTCAAATCAACTACAAAGGATCCATGAAGGAAGATGCTATCCACCTCCAGAGAAAGAACTGATATGTGGAAGTATGGATTGTATGGTTCCACATATATATCTGTATTATTAGCCTTCTCTAATATGGGGTTGGGAAGGAGAGAGAAAGATAACTTGGAACTCAAAATATAACCCAAAAAATAAAGAAAAGAAAAAAAAGAAAAAGGAAGGGGAAATGGCAGTTATCTTATTGCTTTCTCAGTGGCTTTATACTTCATGCCTTTCTTTGTATTCCTGGTGCTTAGCACAAGGCTTGGCGAAAATATTAGGTACTCAATAAACGCTTAAGACCAGCCTTGATGGCAGCAGAATGACTCGGTGGGTTTATTGCTCTTGCGTAGTTTTGTTTTGTATCACTAACACATCTCATTCCCTGTGTGATCGATCTCTTAGGAAGGCATGTTGAAAGATCTTCAGAAGAGCGTGGAGGAGGAAGAGCAGGTGTGGAAAGCCAAGCTCACAGTATCAGAAGAAGAGCTCCAGAAGGTGAGTGCTGCCAAAGTTGCTTTGGCTCCTTTACTGTCATCCTGTCTTCCACCCATTCTCTTTCCCGCACCTAGGATAGGAAATCAGAGAAAGGCAAATTGGGACAAGGGAGAACTTGGAGTGAGGGTTCCTTAAATCTACCCTAAGAGGAATGAATATTCCAGAGGGGACATTCCATTCAGGTTAGAGCAAGAACAGTTCTCAGTGTCTCTTCCTGCCTTCCTGAGTCAGTGTTGGTTTTGTTTCATAGTCACAAATCAAAGTGAAACATCTCGAAGAAACCTTGGAGAAGTTAAAAGGAGACTTACAGAGTACAGCTCAGGTAAGAAGTTTCTTTGCTTTGCTGAAGAAAAATGTCCAAGCTTAACAGGTCCCAGATCTTCACATCGAAAGCCTCGAGAAAAGTGGGCTCATGGGTTGGTGGCAGGATGTCAGCCACCTTTATAGATAGGTTATAAAAGCAACTGTCTGCCCACCAACCATTTTTGGTTTTGATTTTGACTTTTTTGGTGATAGTTGGATTTTCTTTAATCAACCCATAAATTTTGCCATCTTTCCTGTGTTTTTTGGTGTCAGAAGGGTGCTGACACAGCCTTTATAAATCTGGATTCTCTACACATTGCTGTACTGAAATAACTTTCCCCAGGGTCTCTAACAACCATGTTGTCATGTCAACCATGTTTGTGTTTTTTGTCTTTATTTCTCTTTACTTTTCTGCAGCATTTGACATGGTAGACTACCTCTTTCCTCCTTCACCTTCCATGACACTTCTCCCACGGCTCTCATCCTGCCTCACTAGTAGCGCCTTCTTTGTCTTTTCTACTGGTTCATCTCTTCTGCTCAGGTTCTGCCTAAGACACTCTGTTCTTTTCTCTCTGTACTCTTCCTTGGTGATCTTATCTACTCCCGTGGCTTCAGTTGTCACCTCTGTGCAGGTAACCTCCAAATCTGTATCTATGCTTCTAATACCTCCCCAGAAGTCCAGGCCCATATTATCAACAGCCTGCTGACCATCCCTCTGAATGCCTCACCAGCACCTCCAGTACCACCTATCTAAAACTGACATCATCTTCCCTCCTGTACCTGTTCCTCCTCCCAGTTTCTCCCTCCATTTCTGTGCATGGCATAGCTTTGTCTTTCAGAGTCATGAATCTAATCAGTTCCCAAGTTTCCTCTTATGTGGCCCTTCCTCTCCACTTTCACTCAAGCCTTCATGTCTTTGCACCAAACTGTTATAGCCTCTCACCTGGCTTTCTGCCTCTGCTCTATGCTCTCTCCAATCTATCTTCCCTATTGCTGCCCAGGTAATTTCCCTAGTGGGCTACTCTGACTCTTCTACTCAGACACCTCCCCCCACTACTCACACTGCCACTGCTCTAGGTCAAGCCCTCATCACCTCTCACCTGAACTATTAGAATGGCCTTCTAATTGGTCTCTCCCTATCCCAATCTACGCTACGCCCTCTACACTAAAATGTTGGTGTGAAATATTATTATTTCTGTGAAATTCTGATGGCTCCCTGTGAACTCTGGGCTCAATTAATAAACACTTCTGTCTGGCATTGAAAACCTGTCACCACCTGGCCTCAGCCTGTCCAACCTTATTGCATAGGATTTCCCTTTGTGCATTCTGTGGACTAGCCAAATTGCCCTCGGTGCAGTATTCTAGGACCTTCCGTGATTAGGCTCACTGCTCATCCAGTCTTATCTCATATGACTCATCTTCACGTATTCTATTTCTCAGCCCATACTCATCCTGCCCTTTCCTGTTTCTGTGCTTTTGTTCATGCTATTCCCAAATCCTGAACTAGACTCCTCCTTTCCACCTGCTCCCAGCCCATTTCTAGTTCCTGAAGTCCCTGGCTTCTTGGAAGGGCCTGCTCAGATATCACTTCTGCCTTAACACCCTCACCTACTGCCCTAGGTGTAAGTAATTTCTCACATTTCTCATAGCACTACTCTTGAATCTCTCCTTTGTACTTATCTTACCCTCCTTTGTACTTATCTTACCCTCCTTTGTATAGTAGTTATGTGGGTACCTTCATACTCTTTTTTAGATTATAAACTCCTTGAAAGCAGGGCCTGTGTTGTAGCCAATTTTATACCCCAGTGATTAGCAGTGCAGTTGAAGGCATTTGTATGTTTGCTGAATTTGTTGAGTTGAATCAAATAACTGAGGAGAGCTTCAAGAAACTAAAGAATTAGGGTGCTGGTGGGTGATATTTTCTTTTGCACCTGGCCTAATTTCTCCCAAACCAAAAGCAAATTTTTTTGTTTGTCTATTTGTTTATTGGATTTTTTTCCCCCTAAATCCAGTAATGCCAAGACAGTCTATGGAATTCTTCTTGGTTATCCACAAGTTCAACAAATTCCATTCAACTCATTCTCATGTTATTTAATGCCACCATGACATCCGGGGCTGTTGTCTCACTTGTGTGATAATATGTATTTGTCTCAAGGTCAAAGAATATGCGACTCTCTTGGAGGCACGGCTGGAGGAGCACATGTTAACATCCAGTGCAGAATGTCAAAAGTATGCAGAAGAGGTTGAGTCGGTAAGTAGGTGGCACCCTCAGGAGTCTCTGGCTCTGCACTGAGCCCTCTCTCTCCCGTCCTTCTTGCACAAGTGTTAGTATGGTGCTAGAAGGGAGGCCTTTGTTCCCAAGTTCTGACACTACAAGTTCAAGGTCCCCGCTAAGTTTTCATCACTATTGACTAGGCCGACTTTCTTTTCAAGGACTCCTTGGCCATCTGGGACAATGAGGAAATAATGGGTCGTCTCTGTATTTGTCAAAATCCAAGCACAGTCCCTTTGCTTGGAACTTCCCTGAGTTGAAGGTCTCTACTTCCTGGATCCTAGGAGAGAATCAGAATGATTCTGTTAGGGGGATGAGAGGCACCAACTCAGCTTGTCCACTCTGCAGTGCTGGAGCTGCCGCCTTAGTTCCCAGCCATTGGCTGTCCCGTGAGACACTTTGTGTCCCACTGCATGACTGACTACCTTTGGGAAGGAGGGAGAGACCCCAGAATGTACTGATTTAAGGCTGAGGTTTTTTCTTAACTACAAGGCAGAAAGGGAAAACTTGGAATTTCTGATTGGGCTTTAATCTTAAACTCTAGTTGTGTATGAAGGCTGCCTTATAATCTTTCCCCAAAGACTTGGAAAGCATTATAGTTTCCCTTCCATCCCTTAAAAGTGAAACCTTAGATTCAGAGAATCTAGTAGACCCATTTCATAGTAGTTCTGTTTGGTGTTTCAATATTGTGCCTGTTGACTCACACTCAGCCGTTTTGTTTTGTTTTCTTTCTCCTCTGCCCTCACTAACCCTTCCTCTTCCTTGTCTTATAAACAAAGTTGAGGGACCTTTTAACAGAAGCCCGAGAGCAGATGGATGCAGCTAACAGTGAAGCACAGAAGCAGAGCAAGGAACTCGCACTGGTAACTAAGCTTTGTTTGTAATAAATGGGGAGAGAAACTTTGTGAAGGAAGTGTGTTGTGTGAATGCATGTTGAGTTTGTATTTAAAAATGCTAACTTTTTTTAAATCCCACTTGATTCATTTGAAAGACCAGAATTGAGCTTTAATGCTTAGATGCAAATTTTTCCAGTGGTGGTATGAAAGAATTTTAATTTGAGAGTTTTCACTCTTCTGCCTCTCCCTTGTCCACAGTCATTTACCCTGCTCTTAAATGAACTTGGGTTTCTCACATTCTCCTATATGGAAACACCAGTGCTCTGAAACCATATGGATTCATGGGAAACTGTATTTCAGGCATCCTCTTGGGACTGAAATGGTGAATGCCTTTCTCTACCCTAGGTCCAACTCTAGAGTTTGACTGACTGGGCTTTGATATCCCATGATGAAACTAGTAGGCTTTAATTTGTTTAAAGATGTTGACTTAAACAGAGCAATGACATTGAGATTTCATTGGATGCCCCATTTGGGGTAGTGGAAAGAACGTCAGATCAGGAGTTAGAAGAGACATTGACACTCATTCCCACTCTAGGGCACCAAGGCCTCTACTTGGCCATCTGTAAAATGGGAGGACTGAACTTGATCCCTGAGATCTCCTCCAGTTTGAAAATGTTGTGATTCTAAGTCACACTTTTTATAAATTTCACCATAATCCTTTTAAAAAAAATAAATAAATGAAGCGGAGTCAGTGGTCTTGAGTTTTATACGCAACGCTGACCATTAGGTTGAGTAGCATCTGTATTCATTTGTAATCTGAACCCCAGTTTAAGTTTTTCCCAAGAGGTTTTCCAGGCAGCGTTTGAGTTTGGTAATGATAATGATCTTTTGGTCATATCTCTGCCATTTTGAAGGCTCTTCATTTAATCCGAATGGTTAGGGATTTGAGTTCTGGTCTTTATGTCAAATTTGTTGGGGGAGAGTTCATGGTAAATTGGAAATGTAAAAATGTGCTTCTCTTTTGAGGAAAGGATTCCAGGGTCTTTCCATTGGGTGAATTACACTGCATAGGTTCTGGGGAGACCAAACTTGACATTGTTCTTGGGCCTTGGAGTCAGTCTGTGAATAGTCAAAATGTCCATGGGGTCCCCAACAGTGTGATAAAACTGTGTCCTTTCCTTTCTAAACACTGCCCAGAACCAGGAGAGCCCCAGAGTATGTGTGTATGGGTGCTCTACAAGCACCCAGGAGAATTATCTTGGGTCTACAACATTCATATATTTTTGGAAGGGGCTCCCTATTCTGTGCTCACGGAGGGGGTCTTATGCACCACAAAGCATGTGTTTTCATTTTGAATATGTTGGAAAAGGTTGTTGGTTTTACTTTTAGGAAGAAATCAGTCATTCCTCTGTATCAGCGCATTTTAAAATATCATATCATGGGACAGCTAGGTGGCACAGTGGAGAGAGCACTGGCCCCAGATTCTAGAGGACCTGAGTTCAAATCTGCACACAGACACTTGACACTTACTAGCTATGTGACCCTGGGCAAGTCACTTAACCCCATTGCCTAACAAAACAAAAAAAACAAACTTCAAAAAAAAAATATCAGTTAACCCTGAATTCTATGCTTCGCCACTTTCAATGAGCATCATCTTAGGGAGGATAAAGGGCAGTTGTTTCCCTAGTCCCAACCCCCACCCAGTGAAGTGGTTTTCTACCTTGGATTATTCCAGATGATGGTGCTCTCATTTATTTATGCATTTATTTATTTGTTCATTCTTTTCATTTATTTTATGCATTCACTCATTTATTCATTTATTTTTAAGAGCTCTCACCTTAGGTCTCTGCCATGCTTACCAACCTGAGGCCCACTCTGCCGGCTGCATCAGATAATCAAGGAAGCATGTGCCTATAGTAACTGTGTATATGAGTATGTGTACATGTGAGGGGTATACTTGAGCAAAACTCTCCCATCCCTATTTCAGGTCAGGCAGCAGTTGAGTGAAATGAAGAACCATGTACAGGATGGTGAAGTTGTTGGGTCGCAGGCTGACCTAACTGAGCAGGAACCTGTCGAGGTTAGGGCGGTGAGACTGATCCCCTAGCCACCCATCCCTAACCCTGCTATGCCCATCTTCCCTCTTCTCACCCTCTTCTCCCCTTTCTTCCTGGCTCCTGACTGTGCCATGGCTCCATTTGCTAGCGATAACTGCATGAGCTCGATGTGTTGTGTCTTGGCTGCCGTGTGTGTTTTTTGCATATGCTTTTAAGTGGGTTGGATGAGGTCGAGGGGGAGGGAGTGGGGAGCTCCCAAACTCTCGAAGCTTTTCCAGATTATTTGCTCACTTTTACACCATTCTCATTTTCACCCAAATACATCAAAGAATTGATATGGTTTGTTTAGTGTTGAGTTCTCTGGGATGGTTGGAAAATGAGGGAAAGAAGAGGAAAACAGTCTCAGTGAGTGGGTCTCAGTGGGTATTGTCAAGAATCATGAAACACTTGTTTGGGGTTGGAGGTAGGGGAGGGAGGGCCCATGTGGAGATGAATAGAAGCTTAGTCTTTGTGAAGGGTCACCTACTACAACTGAAAGGATGCTCTACCTGGGTTTGAATACTGACTTGACCATGAGCCACCTGACTTCCTGGAATTTGGTCACCTTCCCTATAAAATGGATGTAATAGTACTTGGGCTCCCTGATTCACAGGGTAGTTTCGAGACAGGTACTTTGAAAAGTACTATATAAATGATCTGTTGTTAATGGGGGTATAAAGCTATTGAAATAGAACTAAGGGGCTTTTGTTGCAACGATATCACTAAATAAAAGTGGTGGTGGGTAGTGGTAGGGAGTTGCTTTTTCTCTCTTTGTCTCTCCATCTCCTCTCTGTCTCTGTTTGAGATCTTGTCATATAATTTATGTAATAGGAGGGGAAATGGTGTTTCTAGCCCTTTAGCCCTGAAGTCCCTGCTAAGTAAATCTATGTCAGAGGAGCCTAACCTGGGGCAAACTATCAATAAACATTTATTTATTAAGTGCCTACTATGTTCCAGACACTGTGCTAAGTGCTAGGGATATAAAAGACATCCCCTGCCTTCAAGGAGCTTACAGTCTAATAGATTGAAAAAAGAAAAAAAACTGCCCCTAGCCCACTTGTCCTTGGCCAGCCTTCACCTAAAGCTCACCTACGTACCAAGAGAGACATAAATTAAACTGATGGCTATCTGCCTGATGCTCCACAGCTTTATTCATACAGATTAAAAGATGCTTACGGAAAGGTTGTGTGATCATCTCTTACCTTCTCCCACTCCCCAAAAGTGTTTCTCTGTTGGAGCACGCCCACCATTGTGCTTCTGGACTTCCTCCTCCCGTCTCATTCCTTACCCCTTCCATGCCCCCAACCCTTGGGTTCAGCCATGACTGATGGTAAATCTCTTTCTCAGACTGGCGAAGGGGGAATCACCCAGTTGCCTGACTTAGGTCTGTTGTTCCCTAGAGAGGTATGGGAAGCCTATGAAATACGGGCCTGAGGTTAAACAGTCCATCCCACATTGAGGCGAGGGAAGGTTAAGCCTAAGTGGAGGGCAGGTCCTAGAGATCTTGGATCATAGTAGATTTCATTGTCTTGTGACAGATTCCAATTGCATGTGTGTTTGTGTGCATGTGTGTTTCTATGTAGCTGAAAACACAGCTGGAGCATACAGAAACCCTCCTAGAGAAGGAACAGATCCAGCTGCAGAAGCTGACAGCTGAGTTTGAGGAGGTAAGTTCTTTAACCTGGGCCACGTAGGCCTAAAAGGGATTGGGTGGATGAGCAGTAAGAAATGGGCTTAGTCACTCTTCTGTCCCCCCTTCCTGTCTGATTCCATACTGTCCTTCACACTACCACCTTTCCCACCCTTGATAGAACACGATTCACCCTGATAAGAATGGGAAGGATTGGGTGAAATTTTGTAACATTAGGTGAGCATTTTGATCCACTTGATAGCTTAAGGTAGAGATCTATGGATGAGGTAGGTGGAACAAGATAAAAGTATCATGGTGGTCTGATCTGAACCTGCTGAGGGTAAGGTATGGAGGGAAGTGAGGCAGAATTCTTGATGACCTCTTGAGGTGCACTGGTTTGAGCTGATGAATCAGTGCCTGTCCTGACAGATGGCAGTGCTGTGCCACTTAGCCTTTGAACTTGGCAGCTAAGCTCAGATGATTCAGTGATGCAAGCTTGTAAGTAACAGACAGAGCTGGGATGTCATGAGTGGGCCTACTTCCTCTACTGATAGATTACCTCTGACTAGTTCAGGAGTTCTGAACCCTGGGGTCTGTGAACTTTATTTTTAAAAATATTTTGAAAATTACATTTTAGTGTGATTGTTTTTCCTCTGTAAGCCTATGTATTTTATTTTGTGCATTTAAAACCTTATTCTGAGAAGGGTTCCCACAGGCTTCACCAGATGACCAGAGGGATCCATGACACCAAAAAAGTTAACCCTAGATGTAGGTGGTTTCATGGATTGCTGTGGCCAAAAAAGCCCTCACCTGATGCCCTACCTTTTTGTAATAAGCTCTTTGGCCAAGGCTGATTCTAGGGCAACAGGCATACAATTTGTCACCATACTAGAATGGAAACCCGCCTAGCTTAAATAGAACCAGCCTTTGAGAACACAGTGGCATATCTATGCCAGGAAGGCACAGCAGAGTCGGAGTTGAGTGAAGGCTGCCTTGCATGTGAATTTCAAACAATAACAGCCTAACAAGCTGCTGTCCCATGAAATTTTCAGTAGCCCTTTCTTCCTCGTTTGTCTGTCCTCTCCTTTAAGCCTTTTGGCCATTCCCACCCCTAATAATTACTCTAAATGCTAGGCTGAAGGAATAGAATCTGCCTGGAGCCAATGCCCACAGAATCCCAGTAAAAGAAAACCAACAGTCTGGGGAAGGAAGGATGTTTGTAGGACTTCCAGGGCCTCTTAGTCTCCCTGGCTCCCTTTAAGACTCAGCTCAAATCCTACTCTCTCCAGGAGGTCATTCCTGGTTCCTGCCAGCTGCTAGTGCCTTCCTCTTTCAGATTGCCTTCATATGTTCTGTGTATATCTAGTATGTACCTTGATGTTTACACGTCTCCTCCTCCATTGCAATGTATACTTCTTTTCTTAATAAATGCTTGTTGACTGACTAGATGAATATTGCAGGCGAGGGAGGGCAGTTATGCACACAACTTAATTTAGTGCTGCACAGACATTCTTTTCAAATCTGAAACTGAAATACCTTTGTACTCATTGATGGACTTTGAGGCACTATGGCTGGATTTGGAGTCCTAGCTGTGCCGTTTATGGGACAATGGTGACCTTAACTGCTAATCTCTTAATCTCAGTGTACTGCAGTTCCCTCATGTATAAAATAAGGATAAGAATATTTCCAGTGTCTGCCTTCCCGGGTTGTTGCAAAGAAAACCCTTTGTCAGTGTTTCATAAATCTGAATTGGCATTTTTGTCATAATTACTAGATAATGACTGATTGTTGGCATCAGAATTTGATGCTTATGCTCTTACATCCCTCTTTGGACCTTTTGCATTTCCTCACCTGGTTATCTCTGATTTTGACTGTTTGGATGTTCTAGATAGAATATCTAACCTAGCCCCCCCCCATCTTTCTTCTTGATTCCCTAAAACTCTGTAAACAAGGCCCAGAATTCAGCATGTAATTTGCAAGCAGAATTGGAGAAACTTCGAGCATCCACCAGCATGGAGTCTTCAGAAACGGAGGAAGCTGTTCAGCTGAAGGTAAATGTCTTCATTCATCCTTCAACCTGACTCTGCCAGAGGGCTGGGAACGGTGGTCAGGGGATGGTCTGGATGGGCTTATTAGTAGGTAGAGACACTTAAGGGGAGGCAAGAAGGATGAAGACTTCATTGACCCTGTTGACTTTCCTATAGTTCTCTGCTATGACATTTATTGTATTTCTCCTTAACATCTCCCAGTCATTCACTTACCATTTTAGCACCCAGATATGTCTGCAGGGGAGCAGGGAGAGTCAGGGGAACCAGTTTTTATCTTTTTCCCTTAACTATTTCCCCTAAACTTCTGGCTTTCTCAAAAGGTACAAGTTATGAGAACACTGAGGTTTATATGTTAGTGTCCATACTTTTGTTTCTGTCATAAGTTAATGCTTTAGGACAGCAATGGGGATAAGGACTGGACTTGGGATTTCATTGCAGTAGTCATGCAGGCTGGCATCTCCTCTGCAGTGTATAGTCTTAGAGCAGGGCTTATGAACGTGGGATCTGTGAACTTAAAAAGAAATTTATTTGATCACTATTTCAATGTAATTGGCTTTCTTTGTATTCCTAAGTATTTTTTTAACTTCATTTAAAAAAAATATTTTCAAAATTGCATTTCAGTATAATTGATTTCCTTTGTAATCCTGTGTTTTTTATTTTGTGCATTTAGAACATGATTCTGAAAAGGGGTCCACAGACCTATGACACAGAAACATTTATTACATCGTTTTGAGAAGGGGTCCATAGGCTTCATCAGGCTGCCAACGGATCCATACCAGAAACCCTGTTAGAGGGTAGAGGGCTGCCTGGCACACTTGGCGTGGGGTGGAGGCGTCATGGTCACATGGCCAGTATGTCAGAAGCAGGAATTGAACCCATCTTTCTGATTCTGAGGCCAGCTCTTAATTTGCTAGGTTACATAGGATATTTAATAAAATCTGTCATTGCCTCACTGGCATCTTTCTCTTTAGAAATAACTTTTCTTATTTGTCTGTTGGGATGAGTGTTTGTTTTCTTTCTGGTGAGGCCATTCTGGGCCGGTGATCTGGGATTGGGGTGGTTGTACCTCCCCCCACACCCCCCAGGCTTAAGACTCCTTGGTACAGAATAGTGTGTTCTGTCTTTCCTGAGAATTTGCCATGATGGAACCCTCGGAGGCACTTAAAGTAGAGAGATGTGACTGGTTCTGAGTAACTTCTTGAATTGGTGACCTACAGGAAAGGCTGGAAAAAGAAAAGAAGTTAACAAAGGGCTTGGGTCAAGCTGCTACCAAGCTCCAAGGGCTTTTGAAGATAAGCCAGGAGCAGTTAACCAAGGAGAAAGAAATGGTAAAGAAGTTGCAAGAGAAGCTTGAGAAAACGGTATGGGAATTTTCTGTTTCTTCTCCTCTGGCTGGGGAGGAGGGGTGAACTAAAATAAGCATTTAGTAAATGCCTACTATGTACCAGGTGCTTCAAATATTATCTCATCTGAAGCTTACAGCAACCCCGGGAGGTTGATGCTGTTATTATCCTTGTTTTACAGTTGAGGAAACTGAGGCAGATAGGAGTTAAATGACTTGTTCAGGGTCACAAAACTAATAATAGTGATGATAGCTAACATTTTCATAGCACTTACCATGTGCCAGGCCCTAAACTAAATGCTTTATAATTATTACCTCATTTGAACCTCACAATAACCCTGGGAGATGAGTTCTGCTCTTTAGTCATTACTGGATACTAAAAGCTTTTATCCCACTCCCTATTGATTAACTTGTTTGGGCCACCTGGGATCCTTCCCCCTGGAGAGCCACGGTTTGGGGATAGATCATACCCAGCAGGGAATAAGGTGTCCAAAAAGTGGGATCATGCTATTTTTGGCTTACCTAAGGGCCAGTATCTTATGGTTAGTTATGCAGCCAGAGCCTGCTGCCACACAGGGCTTCTTGTAGTTACTTAGGGAATGGCTTCCTACCTGTAGAATGGCCATTTGAAGGACTGATTTAGCAACAGCTTATCTAACTCTGTAACCTCTTCTTCCACAGGAGGATGCTGGTAGTGCAAAGGAAGGGACCTCTGTCTGAAAAACCTCTGGAATTAAAAGTTCCTTATTCAAGTTTACCAAAATGCCTTACACATTCCTTAAAAACAAACCAACCTGAAAAAAAAAATACACATGTTCCACATCCTGTAGCTATGAGACAGAAGCCATTAGTGAACCAGAACCTTTTAGATTCACACACACACAAAAAAAAAAACAAAAACAAAACCATACTACAGGCACCACCTTTGTAAAGGAATCTTTGTAACGTTTTCTAAAACGGTATTCCCTGGGGCAAGCCCTGGACTGTCAGGAAGCGGACTCCAAAGCCTTTATTAATTCTTCTGTATGAACAGAACCCATGAATGTGTGAAACAGGGGAGGGGGGTGGGGGGGGAACGGGAGGGAGAAGGTCTATGTATCTGTCCGTCAATCAGTGCAATTGTTTTTTGTTGGGGGTGGGGGTGGGAGTGACTGTTTCTGCAGAGTTATTGAGAATGGGGAGAAAGAGCAGGCTTGAGAGGGAAGTGGCAAGGAAGTGGGCCATGCAGTTGCCAACAAGACCTGATTGTGAATTTCTGGATGTTACTGCTATTAAAACCAATGTTGTAGCCATTGGGGGTATTCCTAGTCTTTTTTTCCACTGGGGTTTGCTTTTCTAGACTGAGATCCCTAGGCTTCCTTGAACTCCAAGGGCACAGATGGAGGTTGGGGCAAGAAGTGCTCAGGTGAATTAGAGGAATCGAAATGTTCGTTTTCTTCCCCAGACTAGTCAACAGCGTTTGTGTTGTGCCCGTCATAAGGTACAAAGGCAGAAGAGGGAATAGAAGGCATTTTGCCCGACGCCTTAGCCCCCCAAGCTTTAACATTAACAGGCCAAACACAGGCAATAATCCTACCCAATTGGGTAGCTGCTGACACCCCAGCTCCAAGGCTTCCATCAAGGGGAAAATCTAGTGAGATGCTGTTTTTTCCTTTGTTATCCCCACCAGAGAATTAGGGAAAAGGAACCATTATAACACCTGGCAGCCAGATGGAATTGGTTATTCCTCACCCTCGTTACCCTCCCCACCCTCAGCCTTGGGGTCTGAGTTTGCTAGGAATTGGGTTGTGGGTGGCCTTGTGCACAGTAAGGACCAGACTTTGGGAATAAACAAGGTATCTCCATCCTAGCCTTGGAAAAATATTTATGCCCTGGCAACAGCCAGCTCTGGCTGAAACTGCCCAAAAGACTGAAACCTTCAAAAGTTCACCTTGGCAGTGGTTGGGGTGCAGTGATTGTAGCTCGCCAAGCAAACAGGATGTCGTGCAGCTGGTAGAGATCCGTAATACTTAAGCTACTTCAGAAGAATCCATGCCGCCCCCTCCAAATCCACATAGTGGATGTGGTCCAGTGGAGAGTACCCTGTATCATTGCTAACAATTGGAAGGGTAAGGTCCTAGACCTCAGTCTGCTGTGTGAGTTTCAGAATAATATTTAACCTTCCATCTACCTATTTGCCATTTTCTAAAAAGTCCCCATTTCCCAGGATGATTGTTTCAAACAAAAAAACAAAAAACAAACCTTTGGTCCCTTTGGAAGGAAGGTACTTTATGCAAATACAAGATAGCAGTTTTATTACTCTGTTTAAATTGATCCTTTGTGCACTTGTGGGTGTTAGTAAAGTCCATTTAATCATCTACTGACACGGAAGAACTCCTTTGGTTATGTGACAGCAATCAAAAAAAACCTACTTCCCTGAAGCACAGTGTTGAAGAAAGGGCACTAGATTTACAATCTGAAGCTATGAATTCAAGTCCTAGCTTGGCAGCTTACTGTGTGACCTGAGCAAGTCACCTGCCTGGGCCTAGTTTCATCATCTGTAAAATGAGTGGCTTGTGGCCTGTAAGGTTATGTCCAGCACCAGACTGCTGGTTTTCTGGTGAGCCTTCAGTCGAGCTGGGAGCTAAGAAGAGCATTTGATTAGTGTTCTAAACTTTGATGCTGCTGGTTGGCAAAAAGACTCCCTCACAACTACACACCACTGTACAAAGTGCCTTCCTCATCACTATCCTGGGCTGCAGTACAGGTAGGGAGCACTTCCATCTTAGGGACCACACATCTAGAGTTGGAAGGGAACTTTGTGGCCATCTTCCTTGTTTTACAGATTAGGAAACTGAGGCCCAGGAACAAAGTTAATGACATGCCCAGAGTTATTCAGGTAGTAAAAATGAGAGGTGATATTTGAACTGGGGCCTCTGGTTCCAAAGCCAGTACCTGGTTTTCCACTGTGCCCTGAAGAGAAGGCGAGGGACCTGTCTGAAGTCACATTGCCAGAAAGGAGCACTGGGATTTGAACACAGATCTTCTGAGTCTTGTATTCTTCCCATTATACCACACTGCTTTCCTAAGATGTAAACAGAGAGGGTTAAAACAGTGTAATGGAGTTGAGACCTGTGTTCTCTCCATAATCTGTACTACTAACTTGCTTTGCAGAAATCACTTGTGCCTCCAGACCTGTTTTAGCCTCATGTATATGAGGCAGCTAGGTGGTGCAGTGGATAGAATGCTGGGCCTGGAGTCAGGAAGACTCATCTTCCTGAGTTCAAATCTAGCCTCAGATACTAGCTGTGTGACCCTGGGTGAGGCATTTAACCCTGTTGGCCTCAGTTTGCTCATGTATAAAATGAGCTGGAGGAGGAAATGGCAAGCCATTCCAGTATCTTTGCCAAGAAAACCCCAAAAGGGGTCACAACGAGTCAACTACATGCTGTCAAGGATCCCTTTTTAGACTAATATGAGTACTGTCTTCTGAATTTTCAGTGTAAACAAATGTTTATTGTTTACTATTGTTCAGGAAACTGCATTGAGGTTGGAGCTTTCCTCTGCTTGCCTTGGAGGTGTGATAAGATTTAGTTGCAAAGGTGAGGCCTGTAACAATACAAGGAAGCATATGGCAACTGGCCAGTGAGTAATAAGGGAGCCCAGTAAGTTGGGCAAGGAAGGCTTCATAGATTCTGTGGGGTTTGAGCTGGGCCTTAAATGAACAATTTGGCCATTGGTAGAAAATTATAGAACTCCTTAATTTCTTTAGCTGTAATCCCATTCCGTTAGTATCTCTCTTACTTTACAGATCCGCTATGATCCTTTTTTGTTTAGTTTATCAGTGTTTCCCACATTTAGGTTGTGTTCTTAGTGCCTAATTGTTTATGGCAGATCCCATCAGCTGCTGTCTCTAAGCAGTCTTTTCTGGGTGAATCCATTGTTGCATATGCCCTCTAGCTGTGCTCATTTCACTCAGTGCCACCCCCTCCCTTGCTAGGTCAAATGTCACCGGCTTGGCCACACTGGGATTGTAAACTCCTTGAGGGCAGGGAATACCCTCCATATTTGAATTCCCAGCATTTAGCATAGTGCCTAGCACATAGCAGGAGCTTAATAAATGTCAGTGGATTAACTAGGAAGCAAGTACCAGCTTCATGTACATCATCAGCATATGAGGAGACATCCATGACATCCTTTATTTGGGTCAGAGAATGTGTGGCTCTAACATCTAGGGTGCTTTTCCATAAGGGACACCCACATATAAGATTGACTGCAGACTGAGCCAGAAACAAAACCAGGGAAATGTTCTGGCCCCTCTCTAAGACCCTTGTCTGGCTCAGGAAATGAGTGAAGAGGGGCAACTATGGTGCTGGATATTGGGAAAGTCCCTTTATTTCCAAGTAATGACCTAAGTCATGGTTCTGTTCTTTTACCCTCATATAGTAATAGAGCAGCCATGAGGGCCTAAGGGGCCATTGAAACAGCACGGTTGTCTTGAGCTAAGAGGAGCTCTTTCTCATTCCTTTACCTTTCTCTCTAATGGGTTTTTAAGTTTAGGCCTGTCCCAAATCATAACCCTTTATGCAATCTTCCTTCCTTACAATTCAGGGAAAAACTCCCAAAAGTTCCCCAACCCCTCTTGCCAGTCTGGATGCTGATGTTTGTGCCCTTTCTGCCAGCAGAGGGCGCTTCGGTTGCCGTCCACCCTGTATCTTTGGAACACTTGATGTGAATTTCATACTGATCCATGAAAATAAGCCATCAACCTCCCACCTGTTGTATTTGCTACTTCATGATAACATATTTAAGGGGGAATGGACAGCTAGACATTTAAAAATTGTTTTGAAGCAAATTCTAGCGAGTTTCTTTGGAGTAAAGAATGGTACCAGGGATTGGGAGCATCACATTTCATATGTTTTGAGTTTTGCAGCCTTGTGAGGTAGACTGTAATAAGGAGTACTGTGATCCCCATTTTTCATATGAAGAAATGGGCTCAGAGTGGGTTAAATGAAGATATTGTGGTCCAGGGGAATGAACGCTAGATTTGAAATCTCTGGACCTGCATTCATATCCCACCTTTGCTCACTTGCTGCCTGTCGGACCTTGGATTTCTGTGCACCTTTGACCCTTTGTTTAAAATGAGAGGGTTGGATTGGATGATCCCTCAGGGCCCTTCAGCTCTAAATCTTTGATCCCATAACATGCCCATAAACTTGAACCTGAACCTCCTGAACATTGAATTTGGAGCCAAGACACACCTGGCTGTTTGACCTTGGGCAAGTCACTTCTGGGTATGTCTGTTTTTTCATCTGTAATACAAGGTATTGATCTCCAAGGTTGGTCTATTACACCATTTCTATCAATTCTTGCTAAATTATGAGGCTGATCTAGCCATTGGGCATCAGCAGTTCTTGATCTGGCTTTAACTTAAAATGATTTCCTGCAAATAGGACTTGATGTTGAGTGTCCAGGAATCTACTGGATTTTATGAAACGATAAATAACTGCATTCCAGTATAGGCATCTCTCCATCTTGCTTTTGCAGGGTGGTTTACCATGAGCTTCCCAAAGTCACGATGTCAATTGTCCAGGCAGTATTGGGTCAGGGCTCTATGAGATCCCTCTCTCAGCCCCATTCACACTCCTAGTAATAATAATTACCTCCTATTTATATAATGCTGTGAGGTTTGCAAAGTGCTTTGGATATATCATCTCAGTTGAGACACAACAGTCCTGAGGCAGGTGCTACTCTCATACAGATGAGAAAACTGACTTGGGTTATGTGAGCTTGCCCCATACCATAGTGTCTTGAGGCAGGATTTGAAACAGTCTTCCAGACACTCAAATCTAATACCCCAACTACTATACCATGCTGTCACTTGCGTGGTTTCCAGTGGTCAACAAATCTGTTTCCTTACCTATAAAATGAAGGGATTAGATGAAATGATCACTAGGGCTCTAAACATTTTAAAAGGGGGAGCATAAGCTTTTATGTAACACCTACTATGTGCAAAGTGCTGTGTTAAACACTTTACAAATAGTATTTCATTTGATCCTCACAACCACCTTGGGAGGTAGGTGCTGTTATTATCCCCCTTTACATTTGAGGAAACTAAGGCAAACAGGTGACTTACATAGGGTCACACAGCTATTAAGTATCTGAGGCTAGATTTGAACTTGGGGCTTCCTACTGCTTTATCAGCTGTGCCGCCTAGCTGGTTCTAAGCAATAGGTTGGTGCCATCTCAAGGGACAGGAAAGTAGTATAATGCTTACTGTATTTTGTCTGACAAGGGTTCTTTGAGGAATACT